TTTACTTTATGTCCGAGGAATTTTAGAGTTTGAACACCGAACACATACTTTGACGTATGTTCATCTCATTTTCATCTAGCTGTTTTAACACTGCTCTCACGTGCTATCCATGTGACTGTAAATCAGGATTGAAAATTAACAAGTCGATTATAATCTCCGGTGCAAAAGGCAAACCACGAAGTAGGTTGTTCGTAAATCTTTTAAATATTTGTGCTATATTCCTCTGTCCAAATAGCATACGTAGAAACTCAAACAATCCGTAGAAAGTAGCAATAACCGTCATGAGTATACTTTCCTCAGCTACTGCAAAGTCATGTTATGCTCTGACTAAGTCATTTTTAACAAGTATGCTCATACCCAGTAGGTCATTTTGATATAAGGCATTGGGTATCTAACTCTTACGGTTTGACGGTTGGTGGATCTGAAATCTCACACGGTCGCCCTCGTTTTTCTTTGGGACTATATGCCAAAGGGATTCCCTCTGACTGTCAGAGGGACTAATAACACCCACCTGTAGCATTTAGTAAGATTAAATTCTAGCTATTTTAAGCTTATCTGGTGCCAGTCTTCTGGGTCTGGCAGACACATATGCACTTTCGCTTGTTTACTTTTAGAAGACTGAAGATCTGGTTTGGTTACACTTAAAAAATTTCACGAGTGTATCCTGAGATTTTTTCGTTGTTACTGACGGATTTTTTTAATCAAATTTAGAGATGTGATTTGTCTTTCTTTGTCGTTTGTGTAATTTTAAGTTTCCTTCGGTGTCAAACGTCGCGTTTTAGTGTCGACTGGATATTCATATCACATTAAAAAGTCCATTCCCAGTATTGCCAGATCTACAGTAAGCAGTAAGCAACCAGTGGAATCGTTTCCTAAATCCTATGTCTGTCGACAGCGTTATCCACCCGAACGTCACGACTTTAGTCTTGTTGGCAGCTTGAGGTGTAACCGGGGAAATGTTTCGACTCAGGTCAGTTTTACTCTAAGGAACGATACTAAACTTTGCACCGGTATCCATCGAAATGTTCAAGTATGGATTTCTGTTTCTAGGACAAGACAAACATATGTTCAGGCACCTGTTCTCAATCGTCGAGACCAGCTGGGAGGGTATAATTCGTTCTCTTTATTCTTGATAGTTCATTTAAGCAAGGCACATATCTGAATGATTCTGATTGATTGGACAGAAAATTTACAGTAATATCAATTAAATTGTCCAGATTGTCTGGACAGTTGTTACCTCAGTGATGATCTGCCACAGGTCCTACGATCTGTATACATTTTAGCTGCAGTCCCTGTGAAATTTTAACACTTGCAATGTATTCTGCTATGATTGGATCTTTTAATGACTCTTATTTTTGTGTATGATGAAGCGTATGTGATCCAGTTGGGGGATCTCTTTCGATTATTCCACTTGCAAGACGTGCTAAAAAAGATCAAGATGTGCCGGACTTTGACCATCTAAACAGTTATGAGTGTAGAATGGTGGAGCTTGTATCATTCTTGTTTTAGGATTGATCCTTTCGCTCAGACTTGAAGGCGACGTAACAACTGTGGTAACATAGAACTTATCGTTTTACTTTGGAAAAGCCATTGTGTCCTTTTTCCATCTGATAAAGATGGACGGTTAATCATCTCTCAAATTAAAATGATGTGTGGTTGTAATGTTTGTGAACCCAAAATTAAGTCACGAACTTATCTGGCGACTGAAGGAGATAGGACAAATCATAAATCTCTGCACCGAAATCTCTCAGATTTATTGTTATGTCTCATGAAATAATGATTTAGCTGAGCAAACCGCAACTAATGGCCAGTAAGATCAACTTCTGGGAGTCGTACTTTCATGGCCGTAACAGTGTTTATTTCTGCTGTTGAGAAATTACATTTTTTCTTCAGGCTTTCGGTTTGTATTGAATCTAAAATTTGTTACATGACCAATATATTGCTATAATATGAACAGGGTATAACAATGACTTCAGCACGAATGCTTTGTGACGAAGAAACAATGTATAAAACATAGGTGTACGAAATTAACGTTTAAAACAACCAGAAGTTTTACTTTAACGACTAAGCAAACAAAATATTAAGCTAAATTGAAATTAATTTTTAAGTTCAATATAGGGCTCCCCAGTTTTATGCCTGTGGATGCCCTTCGTTTTATTGATAGAGAAAACCAAACTAGTAGTGAATAGATCCTCATTAATATCGTGGATGGCATTCAATCAACGTTTAATACAATATGATAAGAAATATAATGCATATACAAAAGAAGGAGTGAACGATAACTTGAACTATAATATTTCTACATTACTAAGATGTTCGCGACCAACTCCTAACCAATCAGCTTATGTTGTTACAGATCTTGCTTCCCTGATTTATTCCATATACCACTTAGCTCACAGTTATAACAAAAGGTTCAAAAATGGTTCGCTAGAGTTGTTGTTTTTATTTAAACTTGGCCTGATAACCAATGCACATTTGATGACGACACTAATCCGATATTTTCCAATTTACCATTCGAAGCCCATAAGCAAATACTTAGTCCTAATGCGACAGCTCTTAAAAACACTGTCAAGATTGAAAAGTCTATGCCACGTAAGAAAAATGTATGTACAGAACCTGGTTCTAGACCCAATAACAAGAACATTACGAAGGCCCTACCAAATAAAATAAGATTATACTTCCGAACACCATGCTTTACCCTACGCAGGGGAGGTTATAAGGGCAGGCTTCATTCAAATGTCCCACAAGACGACCATTGCAATCATTATGTGAGCCGGCCTAATATTGGACAGACCACAGTGAACCGACGTGTCCCACGGTTACCCTAAAATGTTTTAAATAATAAACCTGTAAGACGTAACTTTTCTCAATTTTTTCCCATTGGACAAGATGGATTACTAGGTTACTCACCACCAACCCAACCCCATCTGGCAGGTGTTGGGGACGATAGATCCCCAAACTCATATTTTGAATTTTATCGCATCGATCAACTTATTGATTAAACGTTTAAATATTTGTATTGGGGTCAATTGATGAACTGATCGATTAAATGTTTGAATAGCAGTCAATTGATGAACTATCGATTAAATGCGCAAATAGGTCAATTGATGAACTCATTGATTAATGTTTAAAAATTTCCTACGACAATATCGATTGTAAATAATTGTATAAATACGCTTGACTTGTATGCTTGATCTGATATGCCTGCCTGAGTTGGTATCTGCTGTTGCTTGTAGAATACACTTTCTACGCCTTACCAAGACTTCTTGATCGAGTTAGCTGAGTCGAAGACAACGGACCAGAATAGTCTATTGAGTCTCTGAATCCTGAGCCTTCGTTCCGTTCCGAATAAGTAGAATCAGTAGTATCCTCAAGGTTAACGAACCTAACAACTGTTCGCCTAGTCAAGTTCAACAAATTAATCCACTTTATCAAAATAATGATTTTTTGGCCTTCGAAAATTCCTGGTCCCACTTGCACTACAGTTTGTTCAAGCGATAGCCCATATGGTCAGTCAAACATAATAAACCATAGTCTATGTAAATCGGAAGTGCACAACATCATTAGGGAAGCTATCGGTTTTTTTACATTCCATACTCTCTTTTTAAACTTATTACTTATCAATGCACATCCACTTCTGAACAAAATTTCAGCGTTGAGAACATTAGTTTTTCTAGCCAAGCCTTCTTTCATACTTGACACTGAAACATGATGCTCTCAAGCAGTGTCTGGTTGAGAATTAAATGTCCAGAACTATCGACTCTCGCTGTGTCAGAGGAACTAAACGAGGAGGTGGTTGCATTATATATGCTTCAGATACCATAACAACCAATAAAGTTGAAGATAGTGTCCTGAATAGTTTACCAGAACCAGTCTGGAGTACCGGTAGTTGTCAGTTATGTGATGATGAGTTCTCGGCATCCATTAACAAGCACTACTGGTCACGGTGGGTTCGTACCCCAACTAGAGGCGTTAGTATACTCGATCTAATATTTAGTAGAGATGTTATCCCACTATCTGTAAAAGTTTACGATGAATTTGAAAGCAGCAACTATAAGATAGTAGTTTGTGCTCTCCCTATCTATCCCTCTTATAACCGACCCATTCAAAAAACCAGTCAATATAGAGACTATAAGCATGCTGACTGTTCCTGCATTCATTGATTAAACTTTCAGGCTGGGATAACTTTTTCATGTAATATTCTCATGGATGCTATCGACGAATTCTATCTGATCATTAACTCTTTTTTAGAGTCCTCTGTCATTTCGACTTCTTTAATTTAGTCTATTCTCTACGTAGCCAAGGATATCTAGTCTTAGTGCTATATCTGGACATTTCTAAAGCCTTTGACATGGTTAGCCACCAACTTCTTATAGGTAGGCTCGCATCTTATGGGGTTCAAAATCCTTTGCTTTCTTGGCTTGATTCCTTTCACAGTAATCGATATCAAATAGTTAAAATTAACTCTTCATTGTCTAACGCTGTCCCTGTTAGAAGTGGTGTAATACAAGGTTGTGTCTTAGACCCTTTGCGCTTTTTAGTGTTTATCAATTATATTTGTGAAAGTTTTTGTGTGGGTAAGCCCCTTCTATATGCGGATTATCTGAAATTAGTTTATTCATGTTCTTCACATGAGCTGAAAAATATGCGAAATTGCATCAGCATGGAGCTTAACAAAGTAGCACGGTGGTGCTTAAAATGGCAACTGGAGCTTATACGGCTAAATGTGGATGGATATGCTTCGGTGATACATCACTCAACCTAGACATTACCATAAATGGAGAAGTGTTATCTAGGTTACATACAGTAGTAGACTTAGGACTTAGATACTCCTAAGACTTATCGTTTACAGAACAGATATTAAAACAGACCTCTAAGTCTCAACGTCTAATAGGTTACATAACTCGAAACATTTACAACAATGAGTCACGTATTCTAGTGTACAAAGTTTGTGCTCGACCTCTTCTAGAATATTGCATACCAGATAATATCAAGATAAGGGCTGACAGGCGTATTGAACTCGATGATGGACATTGAGCAGGTAGCTTTTCCTAACAACGATAACACTTGGGTTATCCAGTCAGCGGTTTATAAAAACTCGAGGTTAGTTGGGAGTTCTCGTTTTTTTTACACTTACTATTCTATCATGTCTGTCCAGAAAATTTTAGTAGTATTAGTGTTCTAAGGTTGTCCAATTTACAAAAATCTATCGACGTTATCGAAAACGTTTGCAAGTGCTTTCTTCGGTTATATCTGTTTGCTCATAATGTATGTAATTAAATTAAGTTTGTTTGAAAAGTTTCTGAACTTTGATCAAATACCTGGGCTTTGGCTTTCTCGGTAATGCCCGTGGACTGTATCGCGGCCGCAAAATAATGCTTCAGCATATACCTAATACTTCTCAATCCCCATATATAGGGCGATTTTTGTCCGTTTTGGGTAAACTTCTGGAGAAAACACAATTGAAAACTCTAGGGAATTGGCAAAAAACCTCAAGCTTTTTGGAAAACCCACGAAATTTTTGGGGAAAATTATTTGTTTTTCTCCAATATTTCCACAGAATCTTAAAACACTTTGGGGTTTTTTCCCGAAAATTTCCCAATACTGGGGAAAACCATAAAATTCCTCAATGGTTCTTTAAAATAGGGAGATCAAGTTTGATTAACATCTTTTAAAGCTAATCTCTCAATCTATAATTCGAAAAAATTTGTTACGTAATGTTTTTGTCCTTCAATCTTCGCCCAGTTCATATTCATAAATTTAATACCACGTGTGATTGCTTCGTGAAATAATAGTGGTTTCACAGCCTCTCGCTAATTTAAATTTTGGATAGCATAGTTCCGACTGAATCAGAACTGCACGTCATAAACGTCTTTAGCTTCTCAGCCAAGATGTCTGTAAATGTTATATATTGAATGTCTGTATATCACTGTGACCCTGACTCTAAAAGTGTATAGCTAAGTAACCTAACTTAAAGTACACAGCGTAAGTAGTCTTTCGTACGGCTGTTGTTATTGAAGGAACCACTGGCAAAGCACTTTCCCAACAACGTCTCAACCATCATCACCTTTGCTTCCGAAGCACAATACGTAAATTTTCAACTGTTACAACTCAAATGTGTATCTTTGTGGATTGTAGTGGTGGTGCTGTTTTACGTGATCACAACCTACGCTTATGGGCTGCATTAGCCATAAAAACGCGGTTTGGAAAAAGGAAATAAACCAGTAGATAGCGCTGTTCCGAGAAGTTATGGAGTTATATTTTGAACCAAGGAGGAAGTGCAGACCTGTGAATTTTTCCCAAAATGATCATGACCTCATGACTATACTCAGTGTGTTTTCTGTCACGTAAAACGGTATTTTGTCAGAGTTATGTCCTCTGCGCAACTAAACACCGGTAACCACTGAATATAGATACCTTATAGTTGGGACCAGTTAGTTTTAGTCCATTCATTTCGCAAAATGTCGCACTTAATGAATACCTAACTATGATTTTTTAAAAGTGAAATTTCATGAGAGCTGGTATGTATTCAAGTTATACTCTGTATGTCCCTAATAAAACTGGGATTTATCATAACTACATGGGTTCGTTTAAAGTGTAGAGTTCCTGGACATGGTAACAAATTTCATGTGTACCAGATTTGTTATTTCAAATAATCATCATTAAGCTTTTCTGTTATGACCCCAAATAATGGGTGCGGTCCTGCATTTTTACAACTTACTGTTTATGCGGAGTATTTACAGTAGTCGCGAATTTGTTTAATTTATTATTTCTCCTGACTTAATTTAGTAACTGGTTAGTACGCCAGCTCTTGAAGCAAGAGTGTGAATTAGTTCTAAATAGGAATTTATTTAGTGACATGTACCGTTTGGGGTTTACGACTAACTGTCTTGTTTCATACACCAGTAGGGCGTTTAGTTTACAATTCAGTTACCTTTGTCAAAGCTGGTGAAGTTTTTGTTCGTAGAATTCTAGTGACTGTCCTGCAGTTTATAACACATGATAGTTGGAGCTTTTTAAATATCGGCTGCTAACAAATTGTGCAAGTATTAAATGAAGTATTAGGATAAACTGTGATCATGAACATAGGATAGCTTAAGCTATAGTTTTTGGGATTGTTACTGTTTGTAACTCCTATGTTTCAGAATTTCTCTTTTTATTAATCTCACCATAGCTAGGTTAACTAGATCGACTAAGGAAATGAAGTCTTCGTTCTCAATTTACATAGAGTGGTTTCAAAGTCTATCATCGAAGTGCTTCATAATAAATTAACACAATTGATTGTGTTGTCACAAATTAAATAAACATTTGTTTATAGATGGTGCAAGTAGTTAGGCATCATTTTTATAAATTTAAGTTTGTCTCTAGTTTTTCAACCAGATAGGTTTCCAACTTCATCTATCTACGCAGAGTTTCTCCTTACAATTTTGCATTTGCCTTTATTTGGCTCTTTTTGAACTAATTGTATGTTTTCAGACTCCGTTCTTCATATATTTTGTCAGCCATTGATGATATAACTTATTTATCAAGTGCGAATTCATGTACTTGGCTTCAAGCTACACTTAATGTGAATTCTGGTAAGGCTACCTGACTCCCAAAACTGAAGCAGATGGTATTAGAACCTAGTTGTTGCACTTCGGACATATAAATCATTAAACCACAAATTTAAATAATGTAATATACTAAGTTCATTTGTACTACGTCACAACGGTGAATATTATGTGATCTTATGCACTATCGTATAATTTCATCGAATTATTTTCTGATTTTTGTAGTTGTCTGTTGCTAAATGACCAAGTAAGTAAAATCTGATTGTTCTGTTTATGAATGACATCGTGATACATTCTGTATTTCAGGCTATTTTTATACCCATTACTATATTTTTGTGGGATATCTAAATCAATGCTTCTTTGTTCAGGCGGCATTGGATTGCATCTGTTACCGATCCTCGTGTGTGTTCTCACCTTTGTTGCAGTCACGACTTGGTAGGTGGTTTAGAATTCTCCATTGTATTTTGTTTTCCACGTTATAGTCAATTTTGACTTATCATTTTATCTTTATCAGAAAATAACTGTGAAGCAAAGCATTCAGTAAAAAAGTGCTCAATCTGAGAGTTGAGTTAATTCGCAACTCAATTTACTGTCATCTATTAGGGATTTGAATAATGATATTAAAAAAATAATTATTAATATGTGTTTTCAAACGTAATTTGTATGAACGATTCTCTCAGATAATTGTTGTACTCCCTTATATCACTGTTGTTATTCAAAATACTGGCAACCTATCAGGTCCTTCAACTGTCTTTAGCGAAAACTTATATCCTAGTGAAGATTAAACTACGGGTAACTTCTGATAACTATTAATGGACTAACATTACATGTATATATATACCTATTGTATAAATGTTCAGTAACTAGATTATGTGTATCTGTATTCCTCTTATTATAAGCTTCATTTTGACCTATAGATTATTACCATACGATTTACTGTTCTTGAATTATACTGAGTTTATTGATTACAATCTCCCATGTTCACTGTCACTTTTTGGCTTTATCTTGTGTAAATGTCATTTCCTATTTTATGGTGTGGTTTGGTCTGTTTGGCTGGTATATAGACCAAGTATGTTTGAAACAAATGATTCGCATAGTAGGAGCTGTTATTGGCGTTTTGAACTCAACTGGACGGACTAGGCGAACAAAAGACCAATAAGGACGCTAGGCTGCTCGTACCGCTCGAAAGTCATTGGTTAGCACATTACTGAGATTGAATAAGTCGTATTTCGATTAGCGAATAAGTCACGTGACAACTAGCCGGGTTTAATGTCACAACAAAACCCTCGGGTATTTGACATTCTTTGTAGTCATCGAATACAAAGTGATAACCCAAGGGTAGTTTCCGCGTTCATTTAGTTTAAGGATAATGAGGTAGCTGACTTTGTAGATCGCTATATTTATTTAGGAATTTTCACCAGTCATACTAAACAGACAACTGATAAAAGTCGTTGTTAATAAGGTGAGCCAGTTTGGCATTTAAGAACATAATACGGTAATGGGCTACCTATCAAACGGAGTATATTCCCCCAAATGCCCTGGCACGTCCGAGGGTGGGGAAAGTCAGCTCTCCTTCTCGAAATGCTCTCGCATGGCTACGCGTATACAACCACTGCCAGGATATTTGTACTCACTGCCTTCTCATGGTGGGTGTGTTATTTGCAAAATTGAGAGGACGAAAAGCGAATGTCCGGCTGTTTAACGGAATTGGCGGATGAGGGAGGTCCTCCTAGGAGGATTGGGAAGCCCTAACTACAAACGAATGGTACATATGGGCTCCAATATTCTGAGGGTACAAATGGCGTATGAACCTATCGTTTGTCAACGGCTACCATGGGACTGCATTTCCTGACGTTACTCAACTGCCTTGTGGGTCAGACCTTTAGGTCGAAGGCTCCGGGTGTGGCCCCTTAGGAAAACAACCCGCTTCGGTTTAAGCACCCGGGGAGTATTCCAGCCCTCACACAAATCGAATGTCGCGCATATCTATTTGGTGCCTCCTTGTACCAATTTTTATGTGTTTAAATAAATAAATAGATGCATACATAAATGAATAAGAACAACACATATAAGCGAACAATTGCTTTCAATTAGATCATCATCAGGCTTTACTCTAATATACATGAATATTTATACGAAAATGTTAAACCAATCAAGGCAATATGGGTCGATAATCACAATGAAATAGAATAAGTCACCACACATAATAGGTAAAATTCATGTTGATAGTAGGAAGACAGGTGTACTGATAGTAGTAAGAATAATAAAATACGATAACAAAAGTCTTATCAATAGTTCCAAGTCTATTTACCCACGTTTGACCTTCTATTTCCAACGTTTAACTGTTGATAAGACTTTTGTTATCGTATTTCATTATTCTTACTACTATCAGTACACCTGTCTTCCTATTATCAACATGAATTTTACCTATTATGTGTGGTGACTTATTCTATTTCATTGTGATTATTGACCCATGTTGCCTTGATTGGTTTAACATTTTCGTATAAATATTCATGTATATTAGAGTAAAGCCTGATGATGATCTAATTGAAAGCAATTGTTCGCTTATATGTGTTGTTCTAATTTTCACAATAGGAATCTTTAATATTCATAAATAAATAATATATTTGTAATATCCCAATGAGTAGAAAAATAGGATTTTCTGACGTTTCGTGACTTAGTGTAAGCCACTTCTTCAGAGAATAAATAACCAAATCATGTTTTATAAATTTATCATCGTATGCAGATATCTGGCCAACTATCGTTATTTGTGACACTCAGCAGAAATGTAGACAATTTTAACTATCTAATTCTGTAACAACAAATATATATATATATATATATATATATATATATATATATACTGATTGCTCATCCAGTATGTTGTATCCACTACTTATTAATTCACACGATTTTTTTGTAGTTATTTCCTCTCTCTTACACAAGACCACATATCACCGTATTTTCCGTACATCAGGTAAGTATTTATTATGAAATCTGAGAAATTTAATTAGTTATTTAAACATATACCTGATTCATACTAAGCTAAAAGTTGAACGTATGAAAGCATAAGTGAAGTTTAACATGCTGCACTTTAAAACTTCAGTGTCAAACTCACTTGCTGACCTAAACGTAAATAAGTTTTTTCCTTTTTTGTATTGTGGGTGATAAACACTCAGCTGTCGGAAACTGAAAAAAGCATCTATCTAACCTTTCAGGTGGTATCATTCATTAATGTAGACATTTAGTTAGAGATAAGCTGTTCAACGTGTACTAATTTTATTCGTCAAGTGAAATACACTAGTCTTTTATCAAATGATGTTTTTTAAAGAGTCAAAATAATTAGCACTGATTATTTTTGTCTTTTCTTTATGGCGTTATGGATATACTATTGTTGATTTTTTTATTTTATTAAATATATTTAATTGCATAAACATTGGTACAATGGAGCACAATAAAAATAAGATTGTGGAGAGATAGTGAAGAGGCGAGTGTAGTATAAAGAGAGAACAGAATGGGCAGGAATTAGTGTACGAATAATGATAATAGAAGCAATTCATTTAGGAAAAACAAAATCAGAAAGTAATCTTTCGGTGTAAGAAATTCTCCCACTTTTATGAAAAAAGTAAAATAAAGTTACAACAGGATCGCCACTGGCTTCTACTGTAAGCCATGTCTGGCAACTTTGATTTACCTCTCGGACTCCAACCACGTCGCCGTGAAGGACCGACAAAAGCCAGCCCTTTGCAGCTTTCTTTCATACCACGACACCATGTCATATACTGACCACCCCCACTTAAACAACCAGTCCCAGCGTCGGCAAATAATGCCTTAGAACATTCCCAAGCCATTGAATCTGATGTTTTAAGACAGTGACACCGATTGAATGATCGTCACTGTCCCCGAACCTCCTGATTACTAACATGTTGCCTGTGTATGTCAACAATCCTTCAGAAAACGTGATGATACAACAAAGTCGCTTAACATCCCCAACTTGGAAAGGCCAGGTTTCACAAGCATACAGTAAAATGGCTCTTACTGACGAGTCGTAGATCCGACCTTTTACAGGTAGACCAACATCATGAAGACACCAAAGTTGAGAAGGAACAGTGAGATTGGGCAACCCTGTCTAACTCCACTGGTTGAATGGAACAATGGAGAGCGGTGATTGTATTCCTTCACTCTATCTGAGGTGCTATTATATATGGCTTTTGAGATGTTAATAAATTTCTCAGGCACACCTTTCTTCAACAGATGATCTCATAGAATAGTCCTTTCCAACGAAGCGAAGGTGTTCCTGATATCAAGAAACACTGCGATTATGGACCTGCAATAAGTATGGTGGTGTTCTAACACATGGCGTAGGGTTAAGATATGATCAATACATCTTTGACTAGAATGAAATCCAGCCTTCTCCTCGCGAGTCACTCTTTCCCGGGTCTTGAACATTCTATACATATAAGTATAATTGTATACGAACATTCGTCAAGATTAGAATGAATAGTTTGTATTTTAAACCAAAGTTCATGGTATGTTTAAGTGGTCTATATACGTGTGGTATATTCAGTCAGTCAGTCAGTAAAAACGTAGAACTTCGTACGTACGTACATCAGTTCGAGTTGCCATACCACATTCTCACAGAAATGCAGTTGTCGATTTAAATCCCGTAGTGGTAGAGGTAGTAAGAGTATGAGCAGTAATCGGAAAGATTAGGGTTTGGAGATGTTATTCAAGGAGTATAATCCAGTGAAATAAATTTGGAAAGAGGAAAAAAGGGACATGGAGAATTCACAAGATTAGAATCTGGGAGAACACAAAGAGTGGATGCACCTGTGTTATTGCAAACGATTTTGAGCCATGTTATTCAGGGTCTCTAACCATCGGTTGCTATCATCTCGTGGTCCCCAACCAGGTAGTCTACACCTATCAACATGACTCAGTCCACTTGTCAGTGACTTCATGGACTTGTGCCATGTTTTGGTTTGGCCGCCCCTAGCTTTCTTCTAACCTACTCCTATACAACAAAACATCGCACATCGAGGCAGTCGGTGGTTGGGTATACGTAACACGTGTCCCAGCCATCTCAACTGATGAAGTTTCACTACGTTATCAATTGATTTTCCATCCTCACCTAGTACCCGTTTCCTAACAACTGCATTACTTACTCGATGGTCCCAGGATATGCGAGCACTATTTCGAAGACACCTATGATCAAATACCAGTAACTTACGGATATCCTCTACTCTTACCGGCCATGTTTCACTGCCATAAAGTAGGACGGAACGAACTGCTGCGCAGTAAACACGTCCTTTGGTTGATAGACGGATATCTCACCTACGCCATAAATGACGCAAGTTGCCAAAAACTAGTCGAGCCTTCTGTATCCGTGCTGAGATTTCGTCACACACCAGACCACAAGGGCTGATCAGACTTCCAAGGTAAGTGAAGCGGTCGACACACTCAATTACTTCACTCCCTATCACTAGTTCAGGTGTCGATGTAACCCAATCCTGAAGCAACATTTTGCATTTCGAGGGAGAGAATCGCATGCCGGACATGCTTGCATTGTTGCTTAGAGTGGTCAGAAGACTCTGCATTTTGTCAGCGTCTTCACCAAATAAAACTATGTTATCAGCATATTCTAAGTCAACAAGTGAGTCTCCCGGTAGAAGTTCAATCCCCGGAAATCTAGACGAGGAAAGGGTTATCTCTGAAAGTTCGTCAACGACAAAGTTGAACAAGAATGGAGAGAATGGACAGCCCTGACGAACACCACTTGAGGTAGTCAATTCTGATGACAGTTCGCCATAAGCTCTCACTCTACCAGTTGTGTCAACTGATTAAGCGCGAATTGCATGTCTTGGGGATTATCGCACAGTAAGACAATATCGTCCGCATACTCAAGGTCGAAAAGTCTTTCTCCAGACAACAGATCCACACCGCCATTACTTCTATCCATCAGAGCTGTTTCCAGAATGTCGTCGATGGCAAAGTTGGAGAGGAATGGTGAGATTGGGCAACCCTGCATAACCCCACTGCTCGAATAGAACAATGGAGAAAGGTGGTTGTATGCCCTCACTCTGCCTGAGGTGTTTGTATATAGGGCTTTTAGGATGTTAATAAACTTCTCATGCACTCCGTTCTTCAATAGACAATCCCAGAGAACAGTCCTGTCCAACGAATCGAAGGCAGCCTTGATGTCAAGAAACACTACGGTTGTTGGCCTTTGAAAAGTATGACGGTGTTCTAACATTTGTCGGAGGCTGAAGATATGATCAATACATCCTTGGCCGGAACGAAAACCAGCTTACTCATCGCGAGTCAATCTTTCTCGGGTTTTGAACAACCTACGAAGAATGACGGAAGCTAATAGCTTGGACGCAATCGGAAGTAAACTTATCCCCCGATAGTTGTTACAAGAACGACGTGAACCCTTTTTAAAGATAGGGACAACTATCGACTCATTCCATGACGTTGATACACTCTCTAGCTCCCAAACCTTTGTAAACAACGTCGTCAATTACTTAGTCAGAAAGTCACCACCATCTTTAAAAAGAGCCGGAGGTAAGTCATATAAGCCAGGTGATTTGTAACGCTTCAAGAGTTGGAGTTCCTTGCGGACTTCCGCTTCATTTGTTGGATCAGTCGTCACCGGCCATGGAGGGCAGGCCAGTCTGACCGATGTTGCCGGAGCAGCAGGCCAGTTGAACTGCCCTTCAGGAAATTCTGCCCATCGTCCAAGACGTCGATGGATGTTAGTGATTGGCATCCCATCATCTCCGCAGATTGCTACACTCACATCAGACTTCTTGCTGCCAGTGGCTCGGATGAGTTTGAAGAGCCTCCGGTAGTTACCAGATGCAGCTGCTGCTTCCAGCTCATTAGCACGTTCCGACCACCAGGCTTCTCGGTCCTTACGCAAGCTTTGCCCAATTTCACTACGTAACAACCTTCGTTTGTGGCCAAACTCACGGTCACCCAGACTAGACCGACGGGCTTCAATGAGTTGTAAGGAGCCTGAAGAAACCCAGTGCTTATAAGCGGGACGTTTCGCGAACCCACAACTGACTGTTCCCGCCATTTTCATGGCGCCATGCAATTGCAACCAATGCTCATCTATACTTTTCGGTGGAATGGTAGCTAGCCTAGAAACTAGCTCGGTTTGCTACTTACTTGCAACAGAAGTTGCAACCAACTTGCTAACATCAATCCGTTGATGGCGGTCACTTCGTTGGCCACTGAAAAGTAAGGCAAGATTGACGCAGACCAAGGCATGATCAGAGTCCAGATAGGTAAAACAAGCTTTTCGAAGCGACAGATGGAGAGCGAATTTGTAGTACTTCACCAGAGTCTTGAATACGGGTCTCGGATAGACAACAAACCTCAATATTAAGACTTTCCAAAGACATAGCCAGCCCTATCTGTTGTCCGACCTGCATAAATGCGCGAACGTTGAAGGCAGCCAGTTTGAGTGGTGCACGTGGTTTCAAAAAAAACTGCTTCAGTCCTCGTATTCGGTGGTAACATACAATTTTCAACCGGACAGTGACTCGAGAATGTTTAGATACAACCGACTTTCCACCATAGACGAGCTGCTGCATAAGTCAAAAAAAATAAGTATAGACAGAGTAGGAATAAAAGAGGGTGAATAATGACGTAGTAAATAATAATAATAATAATAATAATAATGGCTCAGAATCTTTTGCAATAGTACAGATGCACGTACTCTTTGTTTTCCTTCAGAACCTGAGTCCTGAGGACTCTATACCTAGTTTTCTCTTCTTATACCTAATCTTTACTACTGTTATTGGTACTGTTGCTACTTTTATCACCTTAGGGTTTCTTGATAATTTTATCTCACTGTACTAGAGTGGTATGACAACTTGAACTGATAAATATGTATATCTAGTTCTACGTTACAAATAACATGACTGACCCGAAACAATGTCTCAAATCTTAAATGGATAGGGACCAAGAAACAATATTTAAGCGAATTAGTAAATATATTTTTTATCTGGTTGTTTTAAGTGAATATGTTAGTATTTAACAATGAATGACTAATTAATTAAACTATAAATCACTCTAAAGTTTGTGGATTACCATTTTCGGCATATTATTTGTACATTGGGGTAAGATATGTAGTATCATATAAAATCTATCAATATTGAAGATAGTGAATGAAAGAAAATACTGTTACCAACCTTATTAGTTCATTGAAATTAACGGTTTTATCAAATAATTTATATGAATGGTTTATTTTTGCTTTTGTTTATGTTGGGATTTTCGCCTCAGTCAACCACAACAGAAGCTGTCACAAATATTTGTTAGTCCAAGTTGCCGTAACTACATAAACGTGGAGAGACGAAACTAACAAGGGGAACAACAAAACAACCGGGGTTATAGTAGTATCATTGATGGTGAGAAATCATAAACATTGGAGAATACGGTTCGAGAACATGATCTGAATGCAACTGATAAAAAGTACGAAATAAGATTGAAACTCAGGACTTAAGAGATGATAAAAAGTGAATGCTTATGTGTTGATCCATATGTAACCATTCAAAACCATTTAATGAGACTGAAATGAGTGAAAATTTGTTTTAACTTACAATTTGTTTGGGGCGACCCGGTTCCAGTTTGGGAAGAATTGAACACTAGAAGGCATGTGTTATTTCTTATGAAAAGTTTTGTAATTATCATTTAAGCAATAGATCCTAAATCTGAGTCTCTTGGTTAACATAAACGCTAGAAGTCAAGTAAATGCGACTAACCAGTCCTAAATCAGAAGAAAACACCTACTTAATTCCACTGCCAGTCAGAATGTATGGTTTATAGTTTAGTAGCTCTCAAAAGAATGTATGATTGACTGAAATGTTAGTCAATTTCTTTCAGGAAGCATTTTACATGGTTAATACTATAAAAAGTAACCATATATAAGACAAAAATAAATTATTTTTCATTGTTACTGCCATTATTAAAAATATAGATTACAAGTGGATCTAAACTGTTTTCTTCCCACTCTTCTTTTTCTTTTTTAAAATACCTAAGTGATGCTGGTTCAAAGATCCCAGAAAGTTGTATTTTCGGTCAATTATTAAATATTGTTTCAGTTTTGGGTAAATGACAAATAACATAGTTCACATTGTTTAATATTCTGTTAATGTAATGTACTTCAATATGTATATTTAAAGATTTAATATGTAATCATAATTAACAGGTTGTAATTCAACCTACGTGTCATCTTTATCATTTATCTGTATGAGAGATTATTGTGTCTTTAGACTTGAAAGTATTCATTATCCTCACCAAATCATATATAACGTATATATATAAACGTATATAATTAACTGTATCATCTAGTCATTGGATAGTAACCATATAAGATATTAATTGTTGGTGGAAAAATCTATGGATAAATAAATTCAATGTAATTAATAATGAGTCAAGTGTCGATGTATCAATAGACTAGCACTGTTTTATCTTCGATACTTGAGGTTAAACAAAATAAAATTTACATTCCTCATATTTATTGGGATTCTTTAAAATGATATCTATCTAACAATCAATACCTCAATGTTTCTTACTCTATATGTTTTGTTTATTTTCTCCCATTTGTTTATTTGTTTCATGTTATTAAATTATAAGCAATAATGCAGTTTGTAATCTATTCAACATTATTCATCATCGAATACTTCATTTCGACTAGTGACATCATAAAAAAATTGTCAAATAATTATTAGCAAAAGCAGTATTTGTAGTCACTATCACATGTTCGATTGTTAGCTAACAACAATCTTTGTTACTTTAGTGAAAAATACTTTTATAATGTTTTGAAAATTTATAATTCATCTGGATATACTTGGGTACTGTAATAGTGCTTTCATTATTAACACACATAGACTGCAACATTTCCTGATATTAACAGTGGTAGTAATAGTAAAATTAAGAAAGTTTTCAATTAATCAACAAGTTTAATAAGTATAACTAATTAGAATTGTTGGATTCTTAACTGAATGTATAACCTTTGCTTAATTTTTTTGACCTAATCTATTGATATGTTGTAAATGATTAGGTGAAACTTGTTTAGTTTTATTTTTACCCCTTCTGTGTAGATATTTGCTGAAGATATATGCTATACATTCTTACTGTATCAGCTACTCTGATGGATAGTGCAGAATTAAGTTAGAAATATATGGATAAGTTTATGTTTAGTTTTCTATTACCATCGCTATAATTATTTTCACTTATCACTACAGAACTTGCTAAATTCCTCCCATTGTTCTGATGTGAAATGTGGCCAGTTGAATCGTTGAACACATTTGTCAGCTCTTACATTGGTTTATAAATGTAAGCAACTATTCAGATAGGTTATTTTTTAGTCACCATATGAAAAATTGCAGGATACCTTGAGGTAACATTGTATACGTGCTATACAATATTTGTAACTATTTTATTGATCTTGTATTTGTTATTTGTTTTAATAACCTTATTTAAGAATACATGTTGCCTTTCTCTCTCCCACAATTTTTCATAATCATGTATTATTTGTCATTTTTTCCTTACTGCTGTCATCTGTTCGTTATAATAATAAAGCAGGTTTATGCTTCTACTCATGGCATAAACATTTGCTAGATTGTAGCCAGAAATTTAATCAACAATGTTATCGTCAAATTAGATTGGCTAGAGTTGCTTTATGTTTTGGTCTTATATGTGCAGTTGGTATGAGTATAGTAGCCAACTTTCAAGTAAGCCAATATTATAAATTATTATATATTTCTTATAATTTTCATATTTTAAAAACACCACTGTATACTTGTATCAAAGTATTTCCCTGAGTATTGTCAATTTATGTGTAATAATGAACATTGTAATGAGTTTATGTTACAATTACTTGTTTGATGTTGTATATGTAAGTAAATTAGTTTTCGAAGTTTCTAACTTTGATTATTGAACAATTGAAAACTAGGAATCACTAAACAGCTGTTTTGTCCTACCATTAGCCCACATTCATTACTTCACCAAAAAAGAAAAATGTGCTTATATGCTTATACATGTAAAATAAGTAAATTAATTATTCAGAATTAAATGAAATATTTTTCAGAAAACAAGAATCTATGCAACTGTGAATTAGTAATTTGTTCGAGCACACAATTTTTCAGTTAGGTCAGCTTTTGCTGCCTGTTCTTCATATGGTAAATTTTCTAGATAAAGTATTGCATCCATGAATCCTAATGTATCTGCTTCTCATTTTGTCCAGAAGTATACATGAATAAAGATGTAAATGGAGTGAGTGATTAGTATTTGATAAAGTAACACATCCAAGACTTAAAATGTCTATTTACAAACCTCCACAATGGCATTAATGATTCATCAAAAACCTTACAAATGCCTTAAGCACTCTTCACAATACAGCGAAACCGTTTCTCAAAAGTCCAAAAAATAATGGGAGGCAGTAAAGCATGATATATAAAGTACAAGAATTTACAAATCGTAAGAGTAAATATCGGTTAATGCCAAAAACATGTAACCTCTTCACATAAGACTGACAGGATTTTCTTCGATAATAATATAACATAAGTACATCAAGGGGGATCAGAGGAAAAATGTACCCCAAGGTAAATGAACTTTGACATATTTTAACTACAGAATCTCCAATCATTAAAATCAATGTTATTACAGCAGAATGTTTAAGTAATTTTCATTTCTCAGGCTGAAGTTAACAGATTTACATGTAGAAGGAATAAGTGTAAGACTATTAAAAATGGACCGTTGTTCAATGCGCGCTAAGAACTCATTCATTTCAAGGCGATTTTAATAGGAATAAACTTGTATATACACAGGTAGATCATCTGCATACTTAAAAAGTGATTTTTGTCGAAGATGGAAGATCATGAAAAATAAAGGGGAAAAGAAAAAACAGAAGAGCAGCTCTTTGTGGAACACCAAGTTGAGTTAATAAAGAGGAATAAGCACGGTCAATCGGTTATCTAGTTGTCAGTGCTAACGCTAGCAAACTTTCTAAATGATACTGATTTTTGGAAGTGTCGAATACAGAAGTATAGTCTAGAAAAGCTCATCGAACATATTTCTCATCCTTCCAAACTGAACATTATTATGCAGAACAACAGCAGCACCTAGGGTATCTCTTTAGCACTTGTAAGCAAGTTGACGTCACGGATCATTTTCCTCTGACTTCAATTAGTTTCTAAATATTGAAACATTTTCCACAAGATAATGGTTTTTCTGGATACATCAAAATCGGATATTGATTTTTGGCTTATCAGACCATTTAGCCTTCAAATTTCAATAGAATTTTTTTCTTACACAACCCTTCTTTTTCCCTCCTAAATCTTCTTATTTGCGGGGATGTAAGTCGTTAAATCTTACAAAAATCGTTTCACTGAGACAATAAAAATTCAAGGCAGAATTTAAGGTAAAAAGTGGCAAAATCAACGGTGTCATTTGTGAATAAATCCGTTTGCCGTTTTGGACATGTTTTTCATGTCTTGGATATTTGTCTCTGATTAGCTTCTATATCTAACTTTTATTTATTTAATGTAAAAGTTTATTTTTTCTCAGCTTGGCATATGCTTTCTTCTAATTCTTTCACTTGGTTTATTTATTGAGGTTAAGTGAAATAATATAGGATTTTACACTATATTCTGCTTTGTAAATGGGAAATTTTCATGAAAAGTCGGTAGTACGAACAGGTTACATATGTTTAATTACTATCACTTTTCTAGCATTGTTGATATGTTGCCGGACAACTGAGCGAACAGTTATTAATTCGGAAGTAAATTATCAATTGAAAACTAGTTACTATCTGATGAAACGAGAAATCTAATATTCTTAGCTCTAGCTGTTATGACACAACTTCGTCTCCTCTCATATGATCCTATCGAACTTTTTAAAAAAACAAGCTAAATCACGACTGAAGAATTTATTAGATTAATCAAAGATAGTATATAAATATACCGTTTGATATTTGTAAAAGTGTTACAATTTATTCTTCGGAGTGAGAGAATAGAATATTTGTTACACCTTCAACATGCCGTTGTCTTTTGAGTAACAGTATGTATTTGTCGACCACAGAAGTGTTGCGTTGCTAATATAGACTGGATGGAATGTCGCTAGTAGTAGGATTCAGGATGCACGTTTTGTTCCATTTAGGACTCGTTGACTGGATGTACCCACATCCCAGAGTTGATGTTCACTTCAAGACTCAAACCCGGCACCATTGGCCTCCAACAGCGTCGCGTTATTCACTTAGCCACTGGGTCCAGAAAGACGTTTACTTGTGCAGCGAATATGAGACCTAATTCAGTTCAAAATGGTTTGAATTATCTTGTTGATATTTTCTACTGAAATTTACTGAAAAAAATAGAATTATCATGTTGAGATTTGGTTATCTGAATTTCTTGAGTATTAAACTTATTGACACTGTATAACTAAAGTACAGTTGTCTGTGACACAATTTCGACGGTTTTATTTATTTATTATAGTCTCCAGGGGGACACTGGACACTTTACCGTAAAAGGTTCCGGATTTTTCAGTGTCCATTTCAATCTTTTCTCTTCGTATTTTTTTACTGTTGGTGCGTCGAACTGTATTTTCAAAGTACAAGAAAAATTATACTCAATAATATGCTATTTTCAGGTATCTTTTAAAATTTACAATTGGTTAACTTGCCGATGAGTGCTAACTTGCACGAAAACTATGTCTAGGGCTTCCTGTCGATTACCTCTGACTTCCTACCAAATAAGAAATACGATTCTTGTAATTTACTTATCTATCGATTCACTTGTGCCTAAATTTTATTTTAGAATCAAATGTCGTAACGAGAAAAAAAGCACACTGTAAAAGCGATTTCCTTTATGAATCGATTATCACTGTGTACATATGTCATATATATTTTAATGTATACATTACATGAGAAAACTATATCACTGAGTAATTATAGTGATGTAATTACAAGGACTGTTATTCTAAGGTTGCGTAATGACTATGTGGTGTTTGTAGCTGAAAACGGCGTATAACATCAACAAAGAAGTAATACACGATTGTTTGAATGGTGTAGGTTCATTAAAATAGACGCTTCATTTATGTCATCATGAAAAGTGAAGGTATTAGGTAACTAATACGTGAAATGATTGAGTGAGAAATTTAAGGCAGTATGAAAAACAGTTTAGGGAAGTAGGGAATTTTCTGACTAGAAAACTATGGGGAATATAATAATATTAATAACCACAACAATAATTGATTAAGACCCAAGACAAATAGAAAGGTAAGATATGTGCACATACATAATTCAAGCCTTATGTTATGAATAGTAAAAAATCTTACCGTTTTAAAGAATCACAATATAAATTTTGGCAATTGAAAACGAAGTGTATAAATAATCTTAAAATCACTGAATGTATTTGAAAAGTGATCTAAGTTAAATACTCAAAGATTGCCTACGCAACGGATTTTTTTCTTACGCCTGCGAAACTGTCTCACAACAGACCTGACTACGCTCCACTGGTCACGGATTTTCATTAGAACTCGAGGAAATATCTCTTGAAACCAGTCACTAGTGAGCACATGATGATTATTATCAGAAGAGGATTTTGTAGTGATTTTAGTAATTTAATAATTGAATTCATGAGTCAATTGAAGCTAGACCACCATGGAAAACCTGGAAGCACTTGAGAGCCATTTCGTCCCAGTATGGGACACCTCAGCAGTGCGCATCCGATACTTCATCAATTGGTTTGCCATCCTTACCTAGCACCCGTGTCCCAAAGACTGCATCACTTACTCGGTAGTCCCACGATATACGATCAGTGTTTCGAAGATAGCTATGATCGGATACTAGTAACCTACGAATATCCTCTACTGTTACTGGCCATGTTTCACTGCCATAAAGTGGAACGACACGAACTGCTGCGCAGTAAATACACCCTTTTGTTGTTAGATGGATATCTCGCCTACGTCGACTTTGGTAAACTTTTATCAAAGTGTATGCGGATAACGAAAAAATTCCATATGTTGGTAGTATTACTTACGCTTTTCTAAATTGTCTGTATTCCATGATACAGTGATTTTTTAGTTATTATTTATTCTGATGATCCGAGCACTTTGTTTGATGACATGTTATTTTTTATGGTTCTTTTGTTTTAGCAACGAAATATGTGCTCGTTGTTTTTATGACTTATGTTTTAAACGTTATAAAGGTTGATTCATGTGAAATACATGTATCGTTATTATCGTGAGATTAATGGAACAATGTCCTCTTAAACTCATTTTACGGTATTATGCATCCAGTACTTTATCCGATTTCCTTCTAGGAAACAGCTGTTTGGTCTATGCATCTCCTCGGTGCAGGTCTACTTTTTGGTGGTGGTTCGGCTTATACACTTGCTGTTACATATATTACATATAAATATCTTGGACATAGTCGAATTCGGATTACTCGTTTGGTATTGACATTCATTTCTGTTTCGTCATTTTTATTACGTAAGTCAGTACTAAATAATATTAGTATAGATTTGAGAAAGGTGAACCTCAATTTCTGTTAATGTCATAAAGGACTATTTAAAATTTAACATTTGTATAAATATACATTTCTCAATCTGTGAAAAGAGCGCGCATAGTTTGGCCTACATTAATTCAAGTCCATCTACATACTCTCATGTATAACCAAACCCCAAAGGAAACTGGGTTACTGGGACATATATATAACAGTGAATGTAACACAAGTCAGTGATTTATAAAAAGACCTACTGTTTATATCTGGCAGACTGGGTTCGTAATCATAAACCCTCGTTTTTATAAAATGTAATATATTGAATGAAAATAAAGAGAATTCAGCGAAGAAAATTTTTTTTTTCGACGAGATCATTTACTTAAGCTTTACATTCGTACTTATATGGAAAATATATGTCTATAGAAGGATACAAAAGACTGTATTCGAAACTTATTATCAAACGAGGTTACGCAATAATCAAGGGTAAGAAAAGAATTTAAGGAAAAAATAATTTACGGGTCAGATAGTTGTCTAATTGAGAGATACGAAGAAAAGGACAAATATAAAGGTGATAATAACAAAAACTGAATAATAATCAAGAGAACTAGTTTAGGATAATAATAATAATAATAATAATAATAATAACTGAATGCATTTTAAAATTGCAAGACACTAACTGAAGAAATCAATAATAATCAGATAGAAATGAAGAAAAAAGAAAAAAGGTCGAAACACCACTAAAGAGGATTGAGGTCAAGGAAGGCTGAAAGGCTGAACGAACCGTCTTTGCACTCAAAGTTCGTGGATTGCCAATATCTCAGCGGTGCATAAAATATTGGTTCGACTTCCCTTCTATTCAATTCCTTTGACTGTGTAGATTACTTTAAAAGAAGACTCCTTTGGAGTGATGTGTCCATAGTTGATTAAATGCGCCTGTATTGAACTAGTAATTGTTTTACATTCTCCTTTTGAAAGCCATTCCGGATAGTGTTCTGAGATGCTTTTGGAACGTGGTCGGTTTGTGCGGCCTATGTAACCTGCCCCACATGAGCAAGTAAATTTTTATATGCACATCGATTTGGCCCAAAGCGGAGGTTTATCCTTAACACATCCGTGAATGTTAGGCCGGCTTGAGAAAAAGATTCGGAGTTGAACTGCTTAGAACGATTTATTCAACGATTTTGAAATCCGTTTATTTAAGATTTCAGCAGCCGTATTCCTTTAAATTCCATATTCATAAAAGGGGTTCTTTTGTACTGACGGTGCTTTTTCAGGATGATGTCTAGGTTTTAAGTGGCTATCGACGAATCTAGGTGGTTAATCATTCCCAATGAGAAGTAGTTCCTCATCTGTTGTATCAGTAGAACATATTCACCTGATCCTTGAGGATAAAGAGTGAATGACTTTCTTCTTTCTAATCACTGGGGCGTAGCTATGGAAATTCGTGTACTGCTCATTCCAAGTCAATTTTCTATATATAGATCTCTGTAAAAAAACCATCCAGCCTTCTTTTCAGTCGGACATCAAGAAAAGGAAATTTATCGTCTATCTCTGCTTCCAAAGCGAATTGAATTGAGGGATGACAATTATTGAAACTATTCAAAATTTCATTGAGGTCCATGTCTTCTTCACAAATAATGAAAGTATCATCCATATATCTCTTACATAAATTAAATCTCTCAATTATTGGTGGAAGTACCGTATTTTCATGATTGGCCATGAAGCAATCAGCCAAGAGGGGACCCAATCGAGAATCCATTGCAACTACATCTGCTTGTCTATAAAAATCATCATTAAATCTAAATTGCATTTTGAGAGTAAATTGTAGAAGTAGCTCTTTTGGATAATGTTTTGGAATATTATTATTCTCAATATAGTCACACAAAAACATATAGCTTCTGTGAGAGGAACATTTGTAAAAAGAGAAGCGACATCCAATAAGATCATTTTCCTAACATTTAAAATGATATTTTCAATTGAGCCGACAAAGTAAAAGAATCAAGAGAGTTGTATCAATTGAAGTTAATGTAAATTATTAGCATGGTCTTTAAGACGTAAACGCTTTTTCTTATATGTGAGTCTTTCCCTCCTAATTTGCACACAATATTACTAAATGTCAGTCAGTCAGTCAGCTACAACGTAGGACCGCGCACATATATGCATCGGTCCAAGTTGCCATACCGCATTAGCACAGCAAGATGAACAGATTCATAGGAGTAGTTAAGTCAGTGGTGGTAATATAGAAAAGAAAGATTGCATATAGGGATATAGTACAGGAAGAGAGATTTCGTACGTAGAAAGAAAGATATGAAGCGATTCCAATCTCTTAGTTTAAGGGAAGAGAGAGAGTATATACACCGACGGCATTGTGATCGATTCTGATCCATGTTACACAGAGTCTCCAACCATTGGTTACGATAGTCACGCGGACCACAATCAATTAGTCTGCATCTACCAACATGGCTCAGACTAGAAGTTAGTGACTTCAAGCACTGATGTCAAGATTTGGTTTAGCCGCCCCTAACCTAGTTACAGCCGTCTCCAACACTAGTCAGAGTTGCGAGACTTGGTAACCAGTGTTCAGTCAACTCAACCAACCATCTCAGTTGATGAAGATTCACAACCTTATCAACTGATTTACCATCATTCCGTAATACCCTGTGTCTAACCTCACTATTACTTACCCGGTGATCCCAGCAGATGCCAGCAATATTTTTAAGTTATCTGGTCAAATACTAGTAGCTTACGAGTATCTTCAACTCTTAATGGCCATGTTTCGCAGCCGTAAATTAAAAGAACGAACTGCCGTGTAGTATACTCGTTCTTTTATTTCAGAAAGAAAGCTTTCTGTAAAAGTCATCTTTTACTTTATCTGGGCTGCAGTCAGTGGGAGCGTAGGCAGAAACGACGTTAAGGCAACGACGTGTGTCCCTATCCTTCCGAGTTCTTACGGAGCCGTTTAGCCGAACAGCACATAAATGACTGTTAACGGGGATTCACTCTAACAGTGCTTGTCCCGCCCTCATGCTTGGCGCTATCCCTACTCCTGCCAGTCCACGAGAGCTGACCATCGCGTCACCAGATACACGGAGGGTATATCTCGTTGGCTCTCCGTTTTGCCGAGGTGGGGTCAAGTGAATGACCACACTGGGACCCTGTATGTGTGTTTCAGAGACAGTTACTTACTTACTTACGCCTGTTACTCCCAATGGAGCATGGGCCGCTGACCAGCATTCTCCAACCCACTCTATCCTGGGCCTTCTTTTCTAGTTCCATCCAATTCTTGTTCATTTTTCTCATGTCTATTTCCATTTCTCGGCGTAATGTGTTCTTTGGTCTTCCTCTCCTCCTTTGGCCTTCAGGATTCCATGTGAGGGGTTGTCTTGTGACGCAGTTGGGTGCTTTCCTCAATGTGTGTCCTATCCACTTCCAGCGCTTATTTCTAATTTCTTCTCCGCTGGGATCTGGTTTGTTCTTTCCCATAGTTGGTTGTTGCTAATAGTGTCCGGCCGATGGATCTGAAGTATTTTGCGTAGACAATTGTTAATAAACACTTGTATTTTCTGGATGATGGCTTTCGTAGTTCTCCAGGTTTCTGCCCCATACAGTAGAACTGTCTTGACATTTGTATTGATAATCCTGACCTTGGTGTTGGTTGACAGTTGCTTTGAGTTCCAGATGTTCTTCAGTTGTAAGTATGCTGCTCTTGCTTTGCCGATCCGCGCCTTCACATCTGCATCAGATCCACCCTGTTCATCAATGATGCTGCCCAAATACGTAAAAGTTTTTACATCTTCCAAATCTTCTCCGTCAATTTTGATTGGATTGGTGCATTCTGTGTTGTATCGGAGAATCCTGTTTTTCCCTTTGTGTATATTGAGACCTATTGCTGCTGAGGCTGCTGCCACACTGTTCGTCTTCTCCTGCATCTGTTGTTGCGTTTGGGATAGAAGGGCCAGATCGTCTGCGAAGTCTATATCATCCAACTGCATCTTAGATGTCCATTGTATCCCGCGCTTTCCTTCGGACGTTGACGTTTTCATGATCCAGTCGATCACCAGGAGAAAGAGAAAGGGTGAGAGTAAGCAACCTTGCTTAACACCGGTCTTCACTTCGAACGACTTTGTCAACTGTCCTCCATGCACGATTTCGCAGTGTAATCCATCATATGAGTTCTGTATGATATTGACTATCTTCTGAGGCACGCCGCAGTGTCGAAGAAGCTTCCATGGTGTTGTCCCGTTCACGCTTTCAAATGCTTTTTCGCAGTCAATGAAGTTGATGTAGAGTGATGAATTCCATTCAACTGATTGTTCCACAACGATTCGTAGAGTTGCAATTTGGTCTGTACACGATCTATCCTTACGGAATCCTGTCTGTTGGTCACGAAGTTGGGCGTCTACGGAGTCCTCCATTCTGTTTAACAATACCCTGTTGAAGACTTTTCCCGGTGTTGAGAGAAGAGTGATGCCCCTGTAGTTATCACACTTGCTGAGATCGCCTTTCTTCGGTATTTTGATCAGTAGTCCTTCTTTCCAGTCTGTTGGTACTTGTTCCTCATCCCAAATCTTATTGAAGAGAATGTGGAGTATCCGTGCAGTTGCCGCTACGTCTGCTTTTAGTGCCTCTGCTGGGATGTTGTCCGGTCCTGCTGCTTTGCCACTCTTGATTTGGCCATGCTGATTTCTTCAATTGTTGGTGGGCCAACATTGGTTTGGAGGTCCGTGGGTGCTGCTTCGATGTGGGGTGGGTTCAGTGGAGCTGGTCGATTCAACAGTTCTTTGAAGTGTTCTACCCACCTGTTTTGTTGCTCTTCAATGTTGGTGATTAACTCGCCTTCCTTGCTTGTCACTGGTCGTTCTGGTTTGCGGCGATTTCCAGAGAGTTTCTTTGTCGTGTCATACAATTGTCTCATGTTTCCTTCTCTTGCAGCCTTTTCCGCCGTCGTTGCTAAATCTTCCACATATTTACGTTTGTCGGTTCTGATGCTCCTCTTCACTTGTTTGTTTATTTCCGTGTATTCAGCTTGTGTCTTGGCTTTTTCTGCTCTTGTTCGGCTGGTATTGATCGCTGCCTTCTTGTTCCTCCTTTCTAGAATCTTATCCAGTGTACCAACAGTGATCCATTCCTTGTGGTGTTGCTTCTTGTGACCCAGGACCTCATGACATGTTGAAGTGATTGCCTCTTTGATCCCCTTCCAGTTGCTCTCCACAGTAGTTCCTTCTCCATTGAGTAGATCATGAAAGGCCTGGAACTTGTTGCTGAGGACTATCTTGAATTTCTTGAGTTTGTTAGTATCCTGGAGAAAGGCCGTATTGAACTTTTGTGATGCTGTCTGCCCCGTTGTCCAGTGCTTCTTGAGTTTCAATTTCATCTTGGCGACCAGTAAGTGATGATCTGATGCTATATCAGCTCCTCTCTTGGTTCTCACGTCCTCTATAGTCCTCCTGAACGTTTTGTTGATGCAAATATGGTCGATTTGGTTTTGTGTAGAGTGATCCGGTGAAGTCCATGTGGTTTTGTGTATGCGTTTATGTGGGAATATGGTGCCGCCTATGACCAGCTTATTGAAGGCACATAGGTTTGCAAATCTCTCACCATTTTCGTTCCTTTCTCCCAGTCCGTGTCGTCTCATGATGTCTTCATATCCAGTGTTGTCCGTTCCAACCTTGGCGTTGAAATCTCCCATCAGAATGGTCAGGTCCTTTGTTGGGCACTTCTCGACTATTGACTGCAGCCTATTGTAGAATTGATCTTTAGCGTCTTCATTGTAGTCGTTGGTAGGCGCATAGCATTGGATGATGTTCATTGAAATGCCCTCTTTCTTTGTTTTGAAGGAGGCTTTGATGATCCTTGGTTCATGAGATTCCCATCCTATAAGTGCGTTTTGTGCTCGTTTGGACAACATCAATGCAACTCCTTGTGTATGTGGAGCATTTTCTTCCTCATGGTCGGAGTATAACAGAAGCTCCCCTGAAGCTAGTCGTTGTTGTCCAACTTGCATCCAATGTGTTTCACTGATCCCAAGTACCTCTGGGTTGTATCTTCTCATTTCTGCAGCAATTTGGAAGGCTCTATCGGTGTCCCACATTGTACGAACATTCAATGTACCTAAATAAATAGTTGCTCTGGTTGTCAGAAGCGGCATCAGCCTCGTGAATTCCGAAAGAATTCGGCTTTCATCATGAGGCATCATAGTTCTTCTAAATGAAGACCTTCTGACTCCCGGGTAAGAGTTTAAAAGGTTTGAATAATTTTTTCCGGTTAGCGTTTCTTTAGCGAGTTAGTTTACTACGGGATGAAGACGCTAATCCAATGTCCAACCCTCCTACTTTATCTGGGTTTGCGACCGGCAGTAGCCCCCGGAGGGACTCCAGGCGGAGTTGTTTCAGAGACACAGCATACATCAATGGTACGGAATTCTAGGGTTCTAGCTAAGGAAGCCTGTTGACCGATTTGACATAAGGTTCGTACGTTGAAGGCTCCAATGTGTTGTTTGTAGCGAGGTTTCAGTAGAACTGGAACAGTGTTTTGAGCACTAGAACCGTTGGCTATGGTGACACTTGAGGAGGAAGTCAAAACAAGAAGTTTAGTATTGAAAGTCGATGTAGAAGGAGTAATAGGAAGTGAAGACGGAGGTTGATTATGAATACAGTGGTCTTGAGTGCTGTTAGGGGTATGAGGGCTGTTATCACTTCCCGGTTGCTCACACCCTGAAAAGGAAATCGGATTAAAGGTGGTCTTAGTAACCTGAGAGCGTGACCGCAGTGCCCAAGGGACAACTGCTTGAGGTCGGCCACACAAGACCTTTTTATGGGTAATTTTTGCGTTAGCTCCGTACTTGTTGAGAACTTACCGCCGGAGACGGATATCCGTGGGATAAGGCGAGGTGTGCATTTTAGGGTCGATCATTCCTAACCCCACCCCTCTTTGTGGGAAGGCAGCATCGCTGTCATGCTGGTTGTCTGAAGGAAACACCCTACTGCTGTCACACCTCTGCACAGTCAACAGTACGACTTCGCCTTCGGACCTTAGCTTTGTTGCTTTTAGTCTTACCGCTCTTCAACCGATCTGTCTGACATGGTAGGACCTTGAGGAACGGTTGTTCCAGCCAGTATAGCTCGGTTGCTTCATCACGATAGGCAAGCCCGACCACCACGTCAAGGTATCAACAACGGTCGGGATTACTAAATGGTGTATGTGTTGTTATTTCGGATATCGTGAAGTTGTGTAGGTCTTCATTGCAAATCGCCTTAGTGAAAGCGCATATCCAGCGAAGTTCATCGAGATTTATGTTAAAGCCAACGTACGGATTAAATACGATGCAGTAGATAAGAAAAACTACTCCTTATATATAAGACTAATTCTTCCAGACTTTCCTTTGAATAAAGTTTACTTACGCGACCAAAAAGGTTTCATACAATCCCCTTGTTGTAACTTATTGGACAGAAACTGTTGTAATTTATATAAACTCCACTCCATATATTCTTGCGTTAGATGTGTCTTTATAGTATGCCGCAACTGCTCTAAGCAGTGCAATAGTCTGGCATCCGATTGACACCGAGCATACCACTGAAATTATACAAGCCTTCAAAATTATTAGCGGACACAAAAAACAATGTCTTTCCCGTTTGTCGAAGCAGCAGCAACGAAAAAGCTAAAACCTGATTTATATATACAGAAATTATTTTTATTGTGATCATTATTTTGTTACGTGGTCTTCTCCAAACGCATTCTTAATTTATGTACAAAAACTCATTCCTTCATTCATAAGTTTTCGTCCAAATCCTGTTTAGTTATTGTGCAACACATCTTATCAATTTCCAATTCCAGTAATCTTATGTAGAGCCTTCACAACCTCTAAAATTATCACAATCTATATATACAGTTATTATTGGTGACCTTTGTCATTTTAATTCTTTTCGTTCATCTACATCAATTGTTTCACATAATATCCTACTTCAATGTTACCTTTCAATATACATACGGTTGCAAGCGGCTGTTGAGAAACTACTAAATATAACGAATCAACATTATTCTGCCTCAATTGTTGTTCTGGCTTTATTCGAATTCACAAAGCAATTCATTGTATGAGACTATTGTTTTAAGCTTTTGAAGTTTCAACTGTTTAATCTGATTGATTCTGCAGTCTATCTCACAGCAATGTTGTACACTTATTTATTTAATTTTAATAACAAAACTAGAACCAACAACTGGATTAGTCGCACGTTTTATGTATGATGGTGATAATATTAGAAAATGGAAACCAACTGATCAAGTTAGTCCTTTTCCGTTCAATAATTGCAAATGTGTTAAAATAATGAATTATTATGTCATTCTGTTATTTGTAATAAGCTCATGTAAAATCCATCAATTTGTGTTAACTGCTTCGTCGATGCTTTCAATCAATATTGTTTATCACTAACAAGGTTTTTTTAAAGGACTAAAGTAACAGTCTATATATATATACATAAATTTCATGTGAAAATAGGCAATGTATCGTTTTATTCAACATTCTTGATGTTACATATGAATTTAACAAAATCTGTATGGAGAAATAGTTAAACTTCGTTTTCGTAGACTAAAAATTCTGTAATATTTTTTTGGCAGACTTATTTAGTCTTGATGTTAAGCTAACGATTAAAATTGTCACACTGTATATTCTTCTTAAATTTTTTAGTGAATAGATTTAGAAACAGTTTATCATATGGATTGTTTTCAAGATTGCAAACAGATCTTACTAATGAATTCCAACTAAATATCATAGAAACTTGGAACTAAGCACTCTACCAAATAGCCTGAATATTTTTGAGGTTTATAAAACTTTTGAATAATGGATTCTCGTAGATACTATCCTAAAATATATCAGTATATTAATTACTCTAATAGAATAAATCAGTCTGGTGATTTATATTTGTGCATAAACACATTCAAACTATAATTGAAGACATTTGATCAGGATAATCATTTATCTATTAGTCACATTTAGCGTACTACAACTACACTGACTGTACTAAGAAGTATATTTTCCAAAACTCTGTTTACCTTATAAAAGTGGCTAAGTGTTTTTAGAATACATGAAGTGGACAGTAATCTTGAGGGAAGTTGTCATTCCTCGTGAGTATTTGTGTGGCAGTTAAGAAGAGTGTGTAAGATAACAAGACGTTACATGAAATAAATGCATTTACGACAGGCAAGAAAGTCTGTTAGACTTACTTTTTAACAGCCGCGTCACATTCACTGAAAATTGATAAAAACATTTTTCAGTGATTTAACTCAAATAGGTATTTGTGAATATTCTTCAGGTCTGAACTTAACCTCATAATATTTCAGCTCAGGAAGCCAAGTAATCTCACATGAGCTTATCAAAACATTGTAGCTCAAAGCTGAACACATAAACCTTTACTTGCCAAATGAATTGCGTCAAATTAGGTTAGAAATTTCTTTTCAGCACTCTTAAGGCTTCTGATTTTTCATCTTTTGCTAATAGTTTTCATATTTTTGTGTACTATGTAGTGGACCGTTACTTGTGGAAATAGTTATAACCTTTGTTTTAAATCTACTCAACATTAGGTATGTATCGGAATATCTAAAATTATGTGGTACCGTTTTAACTACTAATTGGTATTCTGTATATTAAGAATTTGCTCAAACTGAATTACATGGGCCAATCCTAGTCCATTATGCAGAACAATAAAAATTATCCGAATTAAAAATGCTTTAAAAGAAATAGGTAACTTTTTTATTGTGTGACGATTGCAAGTTATGCTGAAAAATAAAATTGTTCAGTGCTCTGAAATTTCAAATGACTTGTAGTGACCTCATATAGGAAATTATGGCTTACGATATGTGTTATTTCGTAATAGTGTGTATTATCACTTATTTGGCTGGTCAGTTTTTGATTGTGTCCACGTGTGTATTTTTCGTTTTCATAATAAAATTTATGGGACTACATTAAGTTCCTCACACAAATAAAAAGATGAAAATTTGAAGTAAAAGGAATGTAAAAGATCGTACAACATATAAATAAGTGAACAAGAAAAACATGCTTCAAGTTGTATGGTTCAATTGAAAATACATTTAAAAATAGGAGTGTCTTGGTAGTCTGTTTATTGTCAACACAAGATATTGATTCATTCACCGTCGTAATTCAGTTTTGTTGGACATTTTCAAAAGCCATCTTCAAAGAGTCAATAATCATTTTTACTTGAGTTGTTTTTTTTATATTTTTCAATAAAATCGATATCACTGCTGTCATTGACCGAATGGGTTTATTTTCTAAAACAATGGTATGTTCCATAATGTTTGAATCACTTTTTGTTAGTGTTTAAATATAAATTTGCTATTGTTGTCGTTAAAATTTCTCAAGGGAGGTTTTGACATTTAAGCCGACAAGTTAGTGGACACCTCCCTTCGTGGTTGTAAAGGGTGTGGGGTAAACTTTGATGCTTGATTGATATCGGTCATGTAGTAAATAGAAATAAGTCATTTTGAATAATTCATCGTATGCCTAATACCTTTTCTCATAAAATTTGATGTCATCTTTTTCATACAGCAGAAATTATACAGATTCGACCTAATAACTCAAGTGTTTGTATTCGCAAAAAATTTGTAACATTTGTATCTCTTCTTTGGCCAAATAAAACTTGGCAAACGACTTCACTTATTATCATTCCCTATACTCGGTTTGTTTACTTTTCTTCATCCCCCTTTTTTAAATATTGGCTTCACTGACTGTTTATTTGAATATTTATTACGCGATTCTAATACTTGTTAATAAATGTTATTTCCGTGTCTCATTTCTCAAGTCGGCTTGGTGCCATCATTCAATTATGCTTATAATGCTCATGATTTATTGGCAATATTGCGTCAATCCGTGCAGAATGCATATGCCAATTGCAGTCCTAAACATCAATGAGAAGATTTAGATAACCAATATAAATTTATTTTTACTTATTATTTATTCATGTAATCTATTCCAATGTTATTACTGACTCATAAACTGCCGAATGTATAGCTTAAGTTAATGATTTCGTCGAAAAGAAAATTCTACTCGCTGAATTCTCTTTTTCTTATTCAATGACACCATGGTTTTTTTTAATTATCTGCCGTAATTGATTTAATAGTTTCATATATGCATTTAAATATTATTGTATGTTAGATTTAAGACTGGTAAGTATCTAACTCAAAACAATATTACTTACTTACGCCTGTTACTCCCAATGAAGCATAGGCCGCCGACCAGCATTATTATTATTTGCCTATATATGTTTTTCGTAAATGATATATGCTTTCATACTTCAATAATAATTATCAATAGTTTCTACAGTATATTACAAGTACATATGAATAACTTGACTTATTAGTTTGTCCTGGTTTGACCTTGTTGAAACTTTTAATCTACATGTTTATCAATGCTCGAAAAATATATATTCCGTGTCACTTATCAATCTTGTTAATTCAAATATCCATAGAAAATCATAGATTGAATATTATCATTCTTTTCGTGTTTTTAATAAACATAGTTATTCTGTTATACTATAGTAGAAAAAGAGTGTTCATTTGTACCTTTGGCCAAATGAAATTGGTTGTATAATTCTCGATCTGTGTCGTTAGATCTCACACTTAAAGTATTCAATTAAATACAAAGAGAAACCGTTTAGTTTTTCTTATCACATGCTATGGTTAGTATAAATTAATCATAAAGCATTCTATGGAGCTTGAGTACATTTGTTTTGACACTGAGATGTCTATAGGTTTTCTTCAGAGTCATTATCGCATGGATTCATCATTTGCACTAGGGTCTACATTCATTATTCAGTCACTAAAATTAATGTAAACTTCTAAGTTTCTGTAACTACGTTTTATTAGATGGAATAATACATTCACAAACCTAGTGTACGTATTCGGCTTTATCTTTAATAATAGAAAGTTTCATTTTAATGTATCCTTATTCGTAGATTACACTGAATTTTTTCTGTGCCAATTATTTTTGAGAGACTCACTATTACTTATCCTTTTTGATTCGAATCAGCCGGGCTTATTATCACTCTCTTACAACGAGTAAAATATACATACAGGGCTTTGCTTCATGTTTATTATATCGCATATTATTAACCAGACTTTTTTCATTCTGATTGCTAATCAGAAATTATACAATAGTCTGTCAGTAATTTGAAACTGAATCATTTTCGCAATACATCATTAGGATGAATGTGTCGCTTCCCTGCTTTATCATAGAAAGCCAACCACCATTAGCTTCACTGGTTTTCTATATTTATATCAAGGGATAACAAAAAAATTAGTGGTTTTTAAAACTTTCATATAATCCTCACGTAGTATTTAGTTGGTAAATCATTTGAAACTCAAGATTATTTGAACAGTTATTTCGTTTCTGTCAAGTCTACTAAGCTGGAAGTCATAAGAGCCGATGAAGATCACGCTTTCCTACACACTTACTAAAGTTATAAGTATTAACCATTAGATTCTGATTCGATAACTTAATGTGATTGTGTTCAACATTCGGAACTGAGAAGTATGTATTGAGTTTAATTATTTGTAGCTTCACATTGTCTAGAAACTTCATGGTAATTAGTCACGTTTATCTAGTGTAACAATTTAATGTCAGATTTTTCATTAATAGTATTGATAATGAGATTTAATTATAAGTACAAAATAATAATAATTTAGCTATAAATTATGAATATTTGATAATTGTTTATAAGATATGTAGTTTTACTATGTTATAATTGATTAATAAGGTTATTTCAGTTTAATCTTACTTTTATTTTTGGTAAAATAACATTTCAATGAACTTTGGTATCAATCTATTGAATTTGTGTTTTTTTAAATCCCTAATAGGGTTATTCGTTTCATGTAGTAAGTAGTATGTCGGAATGGATTACAGCTTTATCATTTATATGCTTTATTTTTACACTGGTATGGGAATTGAAAGATTACAAAGTACATGAAATAAAGGTACGTCATTTATTGTCCCTAATAACATTATTAATGGGTTTTTTACTGAAACAGTAATCAAAAAGTTAAATTCTTTTAAAATCTTTAGAAGTAGTATCTGTACGTAAAGAAATAATATATATGGAGCAAACCACGTGAATAATTTTTGTCAATGATATTTCTGTCTTACTTTGTCTTAAACTGCTCTCAAACACAGAAATATTTTTATGGGATCGAAATATGTGACCAACTCAACTATGCTAGACGAATACACTGACGAAATATAATGTCCCGTACATGATACATTTATACCCATAAAACTACAGCTGTATAGTTTTGTATGATTTTATTGCGAGTATAGTTTGTACCAATCACATATTTTACATATGCAAACAGTATACAATAAAATTAGTAGGAATTTATTCCATAGCGTCAATTAGATTTATGGAACCTCATCAAATTTCACTGAAGGTGGAATAAATTCCACTTAAATAACACGTGAGTCTAGACCTGAGGTTCGTTGTTTAGGGGAAGAAAAAGTGTTTGAAAATGTTACATTCAAACTGTGACATGTCTCAACAGCAATCAGTCAGACAGGATGTAAGCGGAATAAGTTGTAAAAGTCCGCTCCTTTTCAAAATATCGTATAAATGATGTTTTTTTAAAAAAAAGTCTCGCGATCAAACCACATATCTTGCACAATCTGACATCTCCAAAAAGTCTAGATGAAAATGAACAAATTTTATGATTACAGGAATTTTTGCCAGTTTATAGACATGATCAGTTTGATGTGGGCAGCAATGTTAAACATAAAAGAGCTATATATGATCTTCGATTGTTTGAATTGCTATGGCTAAAAACTGTTTAGGTAGTACATTTTCCACAAAGATTACATTAGCACAGGGTATCAGTTTTCTACCATTATTTCTTTGTAAATGTTTATCCTGTTAATGTGTGAAGTGTGTTCAAGGTCATTCTCAGTGCCACAACGGAATGATTATAATAATCTTATAAGTAGAGATAATAAAATAAACGAAGCAAGAAGCAACAGCAATAATTTCCATTACAGATGTATTGGTATGCATGTGCCATTTTGTTTAGTGATCCACTGTTCGAGCTAGATATTATTTAAATTATTTTAGTATACCAGGGACGCTGTAAGATTCTCCGATACAACACAGCAGACACCAATGCAGTCACAATTGATAGAGATTTGGAAGATGTAAAAACTTTTACATATTTGAACAGCATCGTTGATGAACATGGTGGGTCTGATGCAGATGTGTAAGCGCAGATCGGTGAAGCAAGAGCAGCATACTTACAGCTGAGGAACATCTGGAACTCAAAGCAACTGTCAACTAACACCAAGGTCAGGATTATCAATACAAATGTCAAGACAGTTCTACTGTATGGGGCAGAAACCTGGAGAACTACGAAAGCCATCATCCAGAAAATACAAGTGTTTATTAACAATTGTCTACGCAAAATACTTCAGATCCATCGGCCGGACACTATTAGCAACAACCAACTATGGGAAAGAACAAACCAGATCCCAGCGGAGAAGAAATTAGAAATAAGCGCTGGAAGTGGATAGGACACACATTGAGGAAAGCACCCAACTGCGTCACAAGACAACCCCTCACATGGAATCCTGAAGGCCAAAGGAGGAGAGGAAGACCAAAGAACACATTACGCCGAGAAATGGAAATAGACATGAGAAAAATGAACAAGAATTGGATGGAACTAGAAAAGAAGGCCCAGGATAGAGTGGGTTGGAGAATGCCGGTCAGCGGCCTATGCTCCATTGGGAGTAATAGGCGTAAGTGAGTAAGTACCAGGGACGCTCTAGGTGTAAAATATTTTCAGTTAGGGAGGTCTAACGAGTGGAATCGTGTCGATAGCGATCAAACTGTTAATGTTCCTATAAGTTCACTAGTAGGATGGGATATACTTAAAGGTCTAAGAAAATTCAGACCATAGATACAGCAAACAATTGATAGTGATTTTATTTCATAGACAGATTGCGGCAAATTATTCGACTCACAAAAATTGAATGATAAACAGCTACGCAGTTTATTACTATTTCAGCATATTGAATTGCAATAGTGGATGTGTAAAAAATTTATTCAGTATTTTAAAGAAAAAGATTAGTTAAAGTCTCCGTTTCCATGAAGTGTCGTTTACAAGCTTATTGCACAAGGATTTATAGTTTAAAGTACAATCATTTAAGATAATTTCCTAATTGAGTCGATACAAAATATATTAGACATCTATTTTAACACAAGTGAACTTTTTTCATCTTGGAACTCAGTTGACTTTCTCAAAAAAGTTTTAACCAACCAGTGTCTTGTTGTTTGAAATAACTACAAGTGATAGAGAAAAAAACAACTTAATGTATTAAAAAACCATATGAAAGCTTTTTTCAAAAACAAAAGAAGACCGTCGAAATGAAACTTTGATTAGATTATTTGAATTCGATTATCAAACCGTTATTTTATTATAATGTTGGATAAATTATAATTAACTAGATTGTATCAGTTAGCTATTATAATAGTGCTTGTGTGGTATATAATTTACGTGTCAGTCGTATTGAAATTTGTTTTTTATTCATCTTTATAGATTGTTCATCGATGGAGTATAATAAGTGATGATAATTATGGCAATAATAATGATGACAATATGCTTTCCTAGAATTTTTTTTCTAGATTTAAGCTACTTTTAAATAGGAGATGAATTTCGAATAACATCTCTTATCTATCCAGTGTTCTTTTTCATATTTTTCTTTATTGAAGTAGAAGATCATTTATAACCAACTTTTTATGAAATTATATTTGCATAGTTAACTAATCCTTTTTTTAATTAAAAGAAATCGTGTATACTTGTCATTTTGTTTTAACGGAAATAATTTATTACAGATTTGGTTCATGACATCATCATATAAACTGTAACTATCTCATTATAATTTCATGATGGAAGTAAAAGAAAAATTAATTTTATCAAGTTTGTTGTTGTTTTGTAGTGATATTATGATGTAAAAAAAGTTAAAATAGAGAAAGATCGTTCCAAGAATAGATGACACGTTTAGTAGACTAGTCTATGACACTGTATACTTGTGAATACATTTAAAAGTGAAATGATGCTATTATTTGTGAATTTGAAGACAATAAAAAAAATTCTTCACGTATTTCGGTCTACTGCTATTACAAAGTTAACGTCTAATAATTACCAAATAAATACTCATGTAGGATAGTGTATTTCAATGTTATACCTAATGTCACTGTTACACATGTTAATCATGATGTAGTAATTATGTACATGTTCAAATACACGGCTTTAATCCAAATGTTGTGTTTGGATTTCTCATTACTCAAAATGTAAAAAACACTGTATTGTAGGTTTATTGATGTATGGGAGATGAATTCACGAAACTTGAAAATCAAATCACCAGTGTGATTTAATAAGTAAATGTCACAACAAATCTTTTAGCCATTTGGTCTCAGGTTCTCAGAAAGGTGCCCCCTGAATGCCCTGGTACGGCCGAGAGTGGGGAGAGTCCGCTCTCCCTCTCGAAATACTCTCACACGGCCACGCGTGTACAGCCTCTGCCAGGGAAGTCCTACTCATTGCCTTCTCGTGGCGGGGGTGTTGTTTACGAAAATGAGAGGACGAAAAGCGAATGTCCGGCGCTTTAACCGGATTCCAAATCAATGGTGCACAAGGGCTCCAGTATCCTGCGGGAACGAATGGCGTATGAACCAATGGTTGGTCACCGGCTACCATGGGACTGCATCTCCTTACGATGCTCCACTGCCTTGTGGGTTAGACCTTTAGGTCAAAGGCTCGGGGAGTGGCCCCCTAAGATAACCACCTGCTTCGGTTTGGGCACCCGGGCAGTATCACAGCCCACACACAAATGATGAACTCTATGTCCATGGAAACTACCTTTGTCGCTTTGAAAAACAATCAATTGATTCAAATTATGATCACTACAATTATTGTCATTATTACTACTATTATTGTCATTATGGTTATTATTATTATTATTTTCCACATTATTCACCTTCTTTTATACTTATACAGCGGCTCGTCTATGGTGGAAAGTCGGTTGTATCTAAACATTCTCGAGTCACTGTCCGGTTGAAAATTGTATGTTACCACCGAATACGAGGACTGAAGCAGTTTTTTTGAAACCACGTGCACCACTCAAACTGGCTGCCTTCAACGTTCGCGCATTTATGCAGGTCGGACAACAGATAGGGCTGGCTATGTCTTTGGAAAGTCTTAATATTGAGGTTTGTTGTCTATCCGAGACCCGTATTCAAGACTCTGGTGGAGTACTACAAATTCGCTCTCCATCTGTCGCTTCGAAAAGCTTGTTTTACGTGCGCTTATCCGGGGACCCTGTGGCATCTTCGTCTGGTCTTGCTGGCGTTGGTGTCGCACTAAGCGCTAGAGCTGAGGCAGCACTAGTCGATTGGATCCCCATTAACAGTCGGTTATATGCTGTTACATTAGAAAGTTCCATCAAAATGAGAAGAAATCGGCGTGAGAAACGATGTCTTTTCGTCATCTCCGCCTATGCCCCGACAGATTGCAGCCCGGATGCAATCAAGGATGAGTTTTACCACCAGTTATTAGTTCTTCTCCAGAAAGTGCGTTCGACAGATATTGTAGTACTAGCCGGAGACTTAAATGCTCAGGTCGGGCGTCTAGGCACAGAAGATGGTCGTTTAGGTGGCCGATGGGGACTCGTTGGTCGCAGGTCAGATAACGGGGACCGTCTACTGCAACTTTGCACAGACCACAACCTGTTTCTGGCTAGCACTAACTTTCGGCACAGTCATCGTCGATGTGCCACCTGGCGTCCTCCCTCTGCATCTCAAGCCTGGACTCAGATTGATCACATCGCGATCAGCTACCGCTGGCGTGGTTGTGTACAAGACTGCCGCTCCTTTTGGAGTACCTATCTGGACTCTGACCATGCCTTGGTCTGCGCCAATCTTGCCTTACTTTTCAGTGGACAACGAAGTGAACGCCATCAACGGATTGATGTTAGCAAGCTGGTTGCAACTTCTGTTGCAAATAAGTATCGAACCGAGCTAGCCTCTAGGCTAGCTACCACTCCACCGAAAAGTATAGATGAGCATTGGTTGCAATTGCATGACGCCATGAAAATGGCGGGAACAGTCAGTTGTGGGTTCGCGAAACGTCCCGCTTTTAAGCACTGGGTTTCTTCTGGTTCCTTACAACTCATTGAAGCCCGTCGGTCTACTCCGGGTAACCGTGAGTGTGACCATAAACGAAGGATGTTACGTAAGGAAATCGGGCAAAGCTTGCGTAAGGACCGAGAAGCCTGGTGGTCGATGCGTGCTAATGGGCTGGAAGCAGCAGCTGCATCTGGTAACTACCGGAAGCTCTTCCAACTCATCCGAGCCACTGGCAGCAAGAAGTCTGGTGTGAGTGAAACAATCTGCGAGGATGATGGGATGCCAATCACTAACATCCATCGACGTCTTGGACGATGGGCAGAATTTTTCGAAGGGCAGTTCAACTGGCCTGCTGCTCCGGCAACATCGGTCAGACTGTCCTGCCCTCCATGGCCGGTGACGACTGATCCACCAAATGAGGAGGAAGTCCGCAAGGAACTCCAACTCTTGAAGCGTTACAAATCACCTGGCCCAGATGACTTACCTCCGGCTCTTTTTAAAGATGGTGGTGACTCTCTGTATAAGGAATTGACGTTGTTTACAAAGGTTTGGGAACTAGAGAGTGTACCAACGTCATGGAATGAGTCGATAGTTGTCCCTATCTTTAAAAAGGGTTCACGTCGTTCTTGTAACAACTATCGGGGGATAAGTTTACTTCCGATTGCGTCTAAGCTATTGGCTTCCGTCATTCTTCGTAGGTTGTTCAAAACCCGAGAAAGATTGACTCGCGAGGAGCAGGCTGGGTTTCGTTCTGGTCGAGGATGTATTGATCATATCTTCACCCTCCGCCAAATGTTAGAACACCGCCATACTTTTCAAAGGCCAACAATCGTAGTGTTTCTTGACATCAGGGCTGCCTTCGATTCGTTGGACAGGACTGTTCTCTGGGATTGTCTATTGAAGAACGGAGTGCCTGAGAAGTTTATTAACATCCTAAAAGCCCTGTATAAAAACACCTCAGGCAGAGTGAGGGCATACAACCACCTCTCTCCATTGTTCCATTCGAGCAGTGGGGTTAGGCAGGGTTGCCCAATCTCACCATTCCTCTTCAACTTTGCCATCGATGACATTCTGGAAACAGCTCTGATGAATGTAAGTAATGGTGGTGTGGATCTGTTGCCTGGAGAAAGACTTCTCGACCTTGAGTATGCGGACGATATTGTCTTACTGTGCGATAATCCCCAAGGCATGCAATCCGCACTTAATCAGTTGGCAATCAATGTCCGTAGGTATGGTATGTGCTTTGCACCTTCGAAGTGCAAAGTACTTCTACAAGACTGGCAGGATTCCAATCCTGTACTCACCATGGATGGTGAGCAGATAGACGTAGTCGAGAAGTTCGTGTATCTGGGTAGCTGCATAAGTGCTGGTGGGGGTGTGAGTGATGAGATCAATGCACGAATAGTGAAAGCCAGAGCGGCTTATGCCAATCTGGGCCACCTTTGGCGCCTTCGTGATGTTAGTCTGGCTGTAAAAGGCCGGATCTACAACGCGTCGGTGAGAGCAGTTTTGCTCTATGCTTGTGAAACCTGGCCTCTCCGAGTTGAGGACGTTAGACGACTCTCTGTGTTCGATCATCGCTGTCTCCGAAGGATTGCTGACAATCAGTGGCAACACCAAGTCAGTAATGCAGAGGTTCGGCATCGTGTGTTCGGGCACAGAGATGATAACTCAATTGGTGTCACCATCTTGAAACACCGACTTCGGTGGCTTGGACATGTTCTCCGAATGTCGTCCCAGAGAATTCCACGTCGTGCATTATTTGCCGACTCTGGGACTGGTTGGAAGAAGCGGAGAGGTGGTCAGTGCATGACATGGTGTCGTGGTATGAAAGAAAGCTGCAAAGGACTGGCTTGTGTTGGTCCTTCACGACTCCCTGGCTGGGGTCCGAGAGATGGTGCTACACAGTGGCTAGAGACGTTATCAGATATGGCTCAGAATAGAAGCCAGCGGCGATCCTGCTGTAACCTTCTTTTACTTTCTTCATAAAAAGTGGTTGTATCTTCCTTAACTGAAAGATTTCTTCTGATTGTACCTCTTCGTCATTACTCTCTCTTTCTTTTGCGTTCCTTAGTTTTTTTTTCTTTCTACTTCTCTTCGAATTCCCATTGTTTTGTGTGGCGCATATATATTGGCGCTCTCTTGTACCAATATTTATGTGTTCAAATAAATAAATAAATAATAAATAAATCTCAGAAAGGTCAAAAATTTCGGTTCGGATTGCTGGATAGTATTACTGGTCTATACAAACTTTGAGCTTCAAGACTGATTACTAAAACATGTAATTGACCTAGAAGTTAAGTTATCGCTAAATCGGAAGAGGAATTTCCAAAGAGCAATTAGATTCTGACGTGTCGGTGGTTGTTTTATTTTCTTTTTTGCCTAACAAAATACAGAAGGCTTAATATTTTTCCGAATTAAATTCGTTCTTTTGATGAAAGTAGAAAAAATTACAAAATCAACATTAAGAAATAGATTACATCGTGTATCAAGTTAAATAAAAATTGTAATCCTAATGAAATGGATTAAAGCATTTTGTTCTTATTCACTGAGTTATAGTTACAGAAGAACAGAAAGTGATGGCTTAAGCGAGGAGAGGTGTTTGTTCATTGTTTTCATGCGCAATAACTATACGCCTTATCTAATATAAAAAAAGGAAATTAATTAGGCAGTTAGGAATCATCATCCACAATATTAATAAGTTTATATCAAAATCAATAACTTGAAATCATAATCCAAACATATTTTGCCAGTTAACTGATGTAGTGTAAGCATTGGATAGAATGATCGTAATAATGAATTATAAACAAATTACTGGCAAAAAAACTGTAAATTAATAATACTGCGTCTATGTTTACATCTAACTATAATGATAGTAATTGTATAACCAGCACACTGGTCTAGGCATTGTAAATCAAAAGTATTATAAACAATGGGTGTTAGATGCTGTAGAATCTTTGTAGTATGTTAAACCCACATAGGTTATTTTGGCCTCTTGACAGGTCAGTCTGTTTCTTCTCCCTGTCAGTAATTCGCTTGTTTATCCTGACTTTTATGATCGCATGTGTGTTGACTATAAATATCGGTTTACGAGTTGGTTCACTCGCCTTATCCACTGCGCGTCATTTCGTTTCTCTGATCGTCTGTCTGGACCAACGATTGTATGGAATATACGTATTCGAAATCTATTCTCGTGTTTTACTTATTTTAATCCCGTTATTCACTAACGCGAATTAATTCGATAACAATAAACGAGAATTGGCGGCATGTATATTTCGATAACAACCATCCATACGATCCAATCGGAGTCAGATATAGGGGCCACTAAATCTTAACGAAGATAAATGACTTATTTTTCTTATTCAATTACTTGGGGTTGCTCAAATGAAAGCAAATGGACTGAAAACTCAATAATAATAATAATAATAATAATAATAATAATAATAATAATAATAATAATAATAGTGGCCATTCCTAGGATATGATGAACAGGTTCAGTTTTTATTTCTCCAGAACTTTAAATTTTTATTACTTATAAGTCTCATTATTGTTAAGAATACCTAGGTTTTCTAGGTATACTGAACAACCATGGTGGACTTTCAGTTTATCAAGTGACCACTACACTATTTTAGAACAAAATGAATTTTATTTGTCGACTTTGAAGAAGTGACTAGGATTAATTCACGAAACGTCAGAAATACAATTTTCTAATCATTGCGAAATCACACCTGTATCATTTAAATTTATTGAAAATGTAATTGAGCATTATATCAGGAGAATACGTTAGTCGTAATGCCAACCTTGCAAAATTTGATAATGGGTGTCGCGATGATAGTTCTGCATATTTGTTCTTATTAGACATTGCCCCATAAAGTAAATGTTACGATTATAGATAATAATGACAATAGTAAAAGCTTACTTTAACCGACTCCAACTCATAGTTCCTCAGTTCAAATATCATAGAAGCGAAAAACAGTAAGAATGTGAAGGACATTAACCATTCGCAAAAGCTACTCAATGCATGATATTTGAAACCCTACATAAAATAAAATAAAATATAGTATTGATGAGATATAAGTACATTTCTACGTTATTGAACTATCCCAGATACTGACTTTTCACCTATTATGTAATCTTTCTCATTGTTATCATTGACTCATAAACTACCTTGATTGGTTTAATAATTTCACATATGCATATAAATATTACTGTACATAATAGTAAAGCCTGATGAGGATCTAAACGGAAACAATTTTGTTCTAAAAAGTGAAACATTAAAATTACTGCAAAAGTTATATAACGTTGAGTAATGTATTAATATAGTCCTGTTTATATCATAGCACGGTTGTTCAGAAAAGGATAGCAGGATAGGATCCATATTTCTTAAATTAAAGAATGTTTATGCAATATGTATACTTAGTTTTCAGTTATGCATTTGCATCTTGTTGTGTATTCTGCGACCCAAGTTGATCATAGACTGTCTTCTTTAGCTTCTATGATCTGCAAAGTACTGTGCGTAAGCCATGCTTATTGACTCCCTAAATCTCTTCAGCTGTTAAGTGTAGCAACTCCCAAGCGAAGTTCCGCTAAATGCCACTTATAGGCAATCTTGTAATTTATCTATTATTAGTTTTATTCTATTATATTTTTGGTACTATATAGAATTTTCAACGCGAAGTATTTAAGTGAGTTTCTGTTTTTTATTTCTTGATCGATATTGACAATAAATATTGAACGATCCCCAGTTAGATACTAGCATTTCAGAAGTCGACATCTAAATAATGTTTATTCTTTTCAATGCATATGGCCAGTCATCACGATGTCTCCGATTATACGTTTTTCTAACTTGTACAGCGAAAGGTCGTAAACTTTTCACAAACTCACCTGAATAGGTTATACAATTAATTGATATGATGATCAGTTAAGACAAACAACGAAACAGATGCTTGTTGAAATATTAAGTGGCACGAACAGGTGGTCGAGATATTGAAGCAGGTCGCTTACACTTACATAATCATATCTTAATTAAATGTTAACAAACAATATAAAGATGCCATTTTTTGGTTGTGGGCATGCTTATTTGACATGTATTAATGAAATTTACAACGAAGACATCTTTGATCAGTACGATAAAAATAAGCGGAAAACAGTAGGTAAGGGTACTTCAAAAACACAATAATCTATACAAAAATATACTTTGTTTAAATAGAATCAAGACTGTCAAACTAAATATCATTTCGGATACATCAGTGTAATTTAATAATTTAGTAATTTGGATCTCAGTTATACAGTCGACAAATTCTGTTGTAATCGACATGAATAAATTGTCTAGATTAATGTAATCATAAAGATGTGCGGTATAACTGAATATAGGATCAATAAATTAAGCAATACAGAATAAATTACTGTATTGTATAACAACAACTAGTTTTTTTATTTACCATTGATTACAATCAATTACTTAAGTGCTATTTTTTCATCAGACGATCAGAAGTTATGAAAAAAGAAATCAAATAAATCTTGATAATAATTACATCTATAATATACCTGTAAGAAAAGGAAATAATTGGATAATAAACAGAATAATGTGTAATTTCGAGTACAATAAGTGTAAACAATTATTATATCTGATCAACTGAATAAACAATAACATTATGAAACCATTCATAATAACTGAAGAAACTATTTGCAGTCATAAATCAAAATACACATAGTAGGAAAATAAAAAGGGAGATCTAAATACACGTAAAGTAGGCAAGAATGATTTGATTCAATAGTGTTACAATAAAGGAGATCCCAACAAATAAACATTATTGTTGAGTGAAATAAAACAAATTAGTTGAAAATTGATCAACAATTATACGACAATAATTTAATAACAGCAGCTTAATATCATTATTCATAAAGAAAAAACTCCCAAAATGATACCAATAATAATAAGGTAAATAAAACATATATATATATATATATATATATATATATATATATATATATATATATATATATATATATATATATATATATATATATATATATATATATATATATATATATATATAATGGATTTAAAGTGTTTTAGCAACGAAATAAACCTACCACTTCAGATGGATCCCATTTTCTAGGGAATGGACCGTGCATTCCTCCAGATAAGTGCCCAAAAATGAACACTAGAATTATTGAAAAAAACAATAACACATAAATTAATATGGCTCGTTACAAAAAAAAGACAAAGTGACTGAAAGTCGATCCTAGGAATTTCTCTTTTTTTTGAGTTAACAGTTGTAATGAATAATCTATACAATGCAAACAGTAACACTTCTTTGATACTGTACGAATAAATAAAATAAGTGACTCTATCAGAACTGTCAAATACTGAGAACTCTTGTCCTAAGAATTATACATCTTCGTTTTGTCAGACTATGTCACAAATATTTATACAAGCAAACTGATAATGGTTTATACTCGGAAATGCAAGAAAAAAATTGAGTTCATTCCGAGTGGATTTTTGAAACAAGTTAGATGTGTACTCATCGGATGATAAAAAACTTTACTAAATTTATCGTCTGAGGGAAACTGGAGAAATCAATCACAACTATCGATAGTCAACAGAACTTTTTAAAATAATTTTAAGCTAAATGAAAAAATAAGTGTAAAGCAAAGTTATAAGTAAAACCTATCAATGTTTATGTTGGACGTGTGTATACGCATGTACCCCCATTCATTGTGTGCAACTTAGCTGAGGGAATGAAATAGTATAAATGAAAATAAAGATCGATCTAATAGTAAAACTTTAAAATCATACGCACCTCCCAGATTCGCGAGAAAACCACAAATAGTTAAAAACAGACGGAATACATATATCCTGAAATTGTATTCCAAATGTCTACGTGTAGAATAGGTGACTAACGCTGAAAATACGATGCCCAGTCCGAAAGTCATCACTGCACCGATTAAATGAACAACTATTAAAGATGCTTCCTAAAACAAAACGAAAAGATAATTAACTACCTGTTATATGGCGAAAAAAAATCGTCTAACCTACACTAAACTACTTATAAGTAGATGAAGCATTTAAAGTAATATCCAAATCATGCCAACTAGGGTGGCAGTTGTTTACCATATAAACCATTGGATCTGACAATCGGTCACTAATTTATTTAAGATTCTGATGCAAAAGCGATTATTTCACACGAAGTTGGTAATATCATATGATCGTCTAAATTAAGGGGATTTAAAGGACAGAATACTATGTAATGGTACGATTAAGTGTTGGAGAGAACGTGGTACCACGGAAATGCTGAGAGTACCCTTAGTAAATCGTCGTCCATTCATTAATTACTTGAAATTCCTCAATAATCATTGGTTGGGAAAGAATTTCCTGGATTGGATTAAGCTAACTAGATAACGAGCTCATTTTAAATACTTCCATTTCTTCAGATATCTTATTCAGAGATTTCGGTTGAAGTTACATCCAAACCAAAATTCACTGACATAAATGATATTCGATACTCTAGAGTTATTAATTATTTTAAACAACTCTTAGATTGACATATTATCTAGATTAAGACGAATAATAACGACACAAATTTTACAATCATGAATGATCTTTTAAATACATTTAAAATTAATTCATTGTATATTAGTTGAGTTCAAAATGTCAACAATCCATCAAAATCTACACATGATGAAACTGAAACATGCAATCTACTTCTGAATTTTTAAAAAACATTACATCATATAACAATACTAAAAATAAAGAGATCTAGTGTCAGGTACAAAATCACTTCATTTATAGGATATATGTATGTGCAGTTAACGGTCAATGAAAACCAATAAATTCAGGTAAAAATATACATTTAATAACTTGAAACACATATATTGACACGTATAACTTGTATCAATAATGATGATTTTAATAATAGTATTGTAAAACAATCAAGTCATAACTACTGTGACCAACTTGAATACAACAAATTAGTTGATTGCAACATTTCTCATTTACAGACAATTTGAATAATATATCTCTATAGTCGGAATTTTCGATGGTATTATTATTTTTAGACAGAATTAATATGTGTCTACCGTTGAATCAACGATAAATAATATCAGGACAGGAAGAGGACAGCAGTAATAATTTAAAATGAGATAAAAAGTAAAAGGATCTTGATATTTAATAAATGAAGATACATAGAATCTCTCATCATTATTTTTTAACAGCTCAAAAACTTCAACAATGAACTTTCCGTTTATGAGCACTGACGTTTTGAAAGTTCATTAAAACTTATGGGAGCAAGCTAGTCTACTCAGGCATGTCATGAGTTCAACGATAACCGTAGATTCTTGCCCCTACAGATGTTGCAAAGTATGAAATCACTTTGAAAACATTCAATTCGTTGGACAGGACTGAAAAATAATGTTATCTGTGGAGGAAGGGTGTGCAAGGGAAGTTTATCCACGTTTCGAAGGCTCTTCATACAAACAACTTGGGCAATGTGAGGGTATACAACCACCTCTCTCTATCGTTCCACTCAAGCAATAGGGTGGGGAGGATTGTCAAGTTCAACCACTCCTCTGCAGCGTTCCTACTCATGACATTTTGGCAGTACTACTAAACGGAGAAAGTGGTGGTATCATGGATCCAAACTTAGAGATAAAACTTTTGACTTGGAGTAGACAGATGATGATGCCTTACCAATGCGATGATACACCTCTACAGGTTGAACCTCATCAAAAGGTAATCGATACCCGTATGTATGTTATGTACTTCGAGGCCGAATTCGAAGCACTTCTGGAGGACTGGGAGATATCTGTGCATATACCTGTTTGTTGTGGTGATATGTTAGGCTTCCATATGGAACATCATTTTCGGTCTCTGGAGCCGGTTCTAAAAATAGGAGAGGCGGTCACTTTATGACTTGATATATATATATATATATATATATATATATATATATATATATAGGGACGATGTACTTCCCCTTTCCCGATTCTTTTATTCGATGGATATCAAGTAAACTCAAACATAAAACTGATGCGTCAGTGAATATCCGTCTTTACGACCCACTGCTTTGTAATGACGGTATCCATTTTGATTGAAGAAACATAATTTGATAAAATCCTATTTCCCACGGTCCCACCATGCTTTGTTCAGGCTATTTAAAACAGTCACATCTAACTTTTGTAGCCTTTATGCATTCCACAATCTGATATAGTGAACAAAAACACCAACAAAAACTAAATACCTGGAAATTAGCCACAATTGACATCCCCAGTGCGCTTAGAAAGCCAACGATGCAAGTAATACGTGCAAAAACAATATGAGAGTTAGGTCCTTCAAGGGCGTATATTACATTGCGCTCATGTAGATACCAACAATAAATACATACGAAAGCTGTGGTAAAGAAAATAAACAAATACAAGCAGCCTAAATGACAATAAAGTACAAATAAAGTAATGTGGAAGAATAGTAATCATTTTATGTGGACTCTGTCTATTAAGACTGAAAAGGCTCACTTTAACAACTATACACTTACACGACAAACCAGTAAGTTTTCTTGAGTATTATTTCGAAGTTAAATCTACTTGCAATCGCTAGACAGCTATCCACAATAAACATGACGGCTGAGGAAAACTATATTGATAGACAATAGAAGGTGAAGGATCCTTCACCTAATCTAAGACGAATCTACAGGTAAAAGGTTGACTCGTGATTGTAATACCTGTTGGATCCACCTAAGAACATTAATTAACTGAACAGCTATACCACGTAATTTTCCACATCCTTTGAAATATGGTGGTAAAACAGTCCATGAGAAGAAGCCACTAAAAAGAAAGCTCTTAGCATAAGTAAAATACACGATATAAAACTTGGAGTATTTGGGATTATATTGTCACTTAAAATTTCAAAAAGCCTTATGAACTGTTTTTGAGGATTTAACCATCTATAACAGCCGCCATACATCTTTGCTTATAATGCTTGTGAATTAAGGCGATATCGAGGCAATTCGCACAGGATGCATATATGCCAATAAGAGACTGATCAATTGCAGTCCTAAACATCAATGAGAAGATTCAAGCAAACAAAACCACGTGAATTTTAGGATATTCTTTACATTAAATTAATATGAACTATGTCCAGCATGACATACAGAGTGTAATTTTGCTATCATTTCATATACGTAACTTCTTCCTTATTAATTATCAAATGTATGTGCAAATCAATACATAAACAAGTGTATTTTCGACTAAATTTTTCGTCTTGCTTCGAGGTTAATAAATCTTCACTTTTATGAGTCTTAGTGTTCTTACTCCTCATCGTGAGGATTGTGGGGGTTCATTGTTTCAAAAATAAGTAATAAGAGAAACAGATATATTACAGTGACTACAAGAAAAATTCCAAGTTACATATATGAAGTTTGGAACTACACTAAAAAACAGGCAAAAGTGATTAGAAGGTGTTAGGTAGCATAATTTGGGAAGGAAAATTCAATGAAGTTTAAGAAAATTAGGAAATATAAAGTGATAGTACTATATTACTTTAAGTAAATAACACAATATTTGAAAACCGACAAAAAAAAGAAATGTAATCTCGAGTATTAAAAAGATTTTAGAACGTATGCTAAGCAGAATAAGCTGTGTAATCCTATGCAAGATATCTTTCACCGAAAGATAAATTATATGAAGACAAGAAGCAACTGTGATATGCAGTCAGTATTATGTTGATTCATTTAGAAAATCAGATTAAATAACATACCAGTGACAGTTAAATGAGACATACTCCACATCATGAATTTATTCAAGTAATTAATTATTACCGATAGTTTTACTGAAGAACCATTACGAGTTAAAATTCAGCTAATTTTGAAGTAGTATTTGTGAATGGTTAGTACCTACGATGCAGTAAACAACTATCAGAGAAGCTTAGTGAATATGAATGAATTCACGATAGGCAATTAATTACATCAGTATGAATGATGAACCAGATAGTGAAACAAATTTGAATTTCAGTCAGTGATAAAGCAACAGGAAATCTACAAGCTCAAACCAACGACTTTATAACAAAAAGTAAAAAAAACACTTACGGAGTCATAGAAAAAAGAACAGAGTTTAGAAAAATCACATTGTTTTATGACCTTCGTGAGACTTATTAGTTTATGATGCAGGAGTTACTTTCACGCGCTGGACAACTACATGATTAGTATCGGAAGGGGTTTTGTGGAGATTGTAGTAATTTCAACAGTTGAGACCATGAGTCAATTGAAGCTAGACCACCATAGAAAACCTGGAAGCACTGGACGGCCGTTTCGTCCTATTGTGAGACTCCTTGGAAGTGGGCATCCACGACCCCGCCTCGCGGGATTCAAACCCAGGGCCTATCAGTCTCGCGCCAGGCGCTCAAACGACTAGTTGGTTGACTCATGATCTCAACTGTTGAAATGAATACATGATTCACAGTAGTTTTCAACTCAGAACTGATATATTTCTATTCACCTACTATTCTCATTATCAGCAATTGAGAGATTAAGCAAAACGATAAACGACATTTGCCACTAATGCATATTAAAATGAGAGTTGTCTAGGTAAACACATAATATTTATATGGTACTGACCTACTAGAAGTGTGATTTTTCGGAATTAAATTCGAGTCTCGAAATTTATAAAAATGAAGCTCCAAGAGAGCAACACCACTATCCGCAGAAGATATTCAATAACTATAACACAAGATTAAGCCAAAAGTGACTGTGTGTGAGAGGCTGTAATTAGCAACTTGGTAATAACTTAAGAATAGTAAATCGTATAACAATAGCCAATAGGTCAAATGAAAGCTTGTGAAAAAATATAAATATGGATATTTATATAATAATAGTCTATAAATAATTCCTAGAAGTAACCAGTCATTCATTCTTTGTTCGAACATAACAATTTCTTCGGATTTTGTGAAAGGTAGTTACTTTTAAACAACACACTACATTTCTATGATAGAGTTATTTTGATGTAAAGTAGTTCAATTAAAAAGTTCAGACAGAAAATTGAACGAAGTACATTGTGCAAGCACAAAATGTCTTGATGTCACAAAACAGCGAATCGGATTATGTAATGTTAACAAACAAGCTTAACTAGTGTATTCAGTCCAATGTGATTCAATTGACTAACAGACAAATAATTAACAAACGTCTAAAAAAATGAAAGACAACAATTATTTTATCCTGATGAGAACATTAATTAAAACTTCCCTTAGTGTTCATTATAAAACAAATTTTCTGAAAAAAGCTTTATAATCTGTAAATTACTTAACGACAGGTTTTGGAATCGACTTCGTCCAAATAATTCAAAAGAAATAAAATCTTGATCAATAATTGCAGTGAAATCTCAAACTTCAAAAAAACAACCAAAGAAAACGCCACCATTAAATAATATACATTTTCAGTAAACCTGTCGTTTTGAACGAAATATATAATAACAACTTACAAAGAAAAGAACATATATTGAGCAGTTGACCAAATACGCAGCTTTCAGGCGGTAGAGCACCAGTATCACTGAGTTACAAAACAAAATTTAAAAACATAACGGCTAATTTAAAAAGTCTAAGAGAGTCGCTTTACATGAAAAACACAAAAATCCAAATGAAAGTATGAAAACGATTCACGAAATATAGGTAAACAAATGAATCACACTAACGGATTATAGATTAGAAAGCTACCATTTACGAAATGTAGAGTAATACATAGTACTCATTTATCTATAATTATAAACAAATATCAAATACTAGTCTGTAAATAATAAAGAAGTTATCAGGGTTACATTTTGACGTTACAAAAATTTCGTTTGATTGAAATGATCAGTCGCTATGAAACGTGAATAGATAGGTGGATCAGAATATTATGCGAACATATTAATCTAACTTCAATATAAAGTATTTGTTTTGGAAATCTGTAGTCAAACAAAATAACAAACATATATAAGTTATAATTGTTTTTTCAATCCTATAGACGATAAAAAATTGCTGCGATAGAACAACTTATGTAAGAAGAGGTTTTCACTAATCACCAAAAACTTCTGCAATTGTAGTGGCGTAGTTATATTTACGTTTTTAATGGTTAAATAACTATGTCTAAAACTTAATTACATCTATAAACTTCCGGTTACATGACACCCAAAACTGACCTTTATACTATATACTTTGATAACTTTGAAAGCAACCATATGTGAAAATTTCAGAATTAATTTAAAACTGAATACATATGAAATTACTCAATTTCTTTCTACTACTTAAAATATTTTATTTCGTGAGTACTGCAACCTGCTTCACGAGGAATTTAATTACTAATAATAATTACATATAAAATGTAGTGAAATAATATTTAATTTGAAATTATTATAAAGTGAATGCTTTGTAAACAATAAATTTCTAAATATTACAAATAAACGAGTAAATAATTCATAGGCAGTGTTAAACGAGGAGTGTTGATTCCGAAATGATTTCCTTTAACATAGTTTTAATTAATGATATAGCGAGTAATAGTTTAATCAATTGAAATGAGAATGATATATGAAATTGATTTTCTTTCCAATTATATGCGACATGTATTCATCACATCTCAAGGATTATAGATTCTTAGTTACGTTATATTGTAAATATGTGTTTGGATAGTAAGTTATTGGATTATGATTGCTAAATACAACCAAATTCAATTTACATATATCTGACCGTTAACCTAATAAGAAATAGATCATTTCGAACTAGTTTTGGAGTGAAATAAATTCTTATCATCACTCTTAGCTCTTTTCCAATGTGTTCGGATTTGGCGTGTAGATTTGTACTGGGGTTATTAAAAGAACTTAGTAAACCGATTCGAGCTTTCAGTTAGAAAACTTATCAATTAGGAAATAATGTTTTCATCAGCAGAAGAACCACTTAAAATTAAGGGTTACTGAAAAAAAGGTTTTCGTTGAGGTTTGATTATTCTTAACAGTGATCAGTTAAGACCATACACGGGAACAAAGCTAAGACCACAAAATCTCGTTGTAAGTTAGTTGAAGAGCAGCAAAAAAAGGTAGACAGCATAGTATCAATAATCAGTAGAAAATTTAAAAGTGTAAACTCTGAAAGAAATAAGTACAGGTTTAAAAAAATACTAATCATCCAATCAGCACTGAACAACATGAAAGAAATGTGCAGTCTAATAATAAAAGATTTTAAATTGAATAATTGGAGCTTCTCAAGAACACAGTGTTAACTCAATTGGATAGTAAATATATGGACTACACACTTATAATTATTGAAAAACCTTTTAAAATATATGAATTAGATCGAAAAATACCTTCAGTAATCTTCTAACAAGTAAAAATGAAGAAATTTCTGATAGCTAAAGCATCAATTTCGCCAAATTAGTGGATTTTTTGAATTCCTTATAATTTAACAATAACGAGAACTGTAAAGAAATCGAATACGACATCAAGGTTCAAAATCAGAAAGCTATGAACAAAAAGCATATATAGTAATTATAACTATAAATAGGCTACGCCGTTTGTTCAATTATCTTCCGTTTTCATCTATATTATCCTATTTGTCACGCGGAAATGATATAACGAGGCGAATGGTGCGGAAATTTAACCTTTGGGACTAATATATTAAGGATCACTTATAATTTTACTTCATAATTAGTAGACGATTACAATGTTGTATTTTTATCTCCTCTTATTTGTAAGCCTCCATTCGATTCATAAATCTTTGTCATGTCTTATTATTCCAGATTTATCATTACTTATTTTTTTAATTACTTTGGTTTTGCATCATTAATGACGAAGTTATTCTAATTTTTTAATTGTGTTTCTATGCGGTCAGACATTTCAGGTACATTACTGTAAAGATTTGGAGTTGTAATTGAATTGAGTACAATAGAGAAAGGGTCTGTTTTCGAACTTCCTCTTGTTATTAGCCGAATGTTTAGGAGCTCAAGGACCAATAAAAGTTAAGGCTTTGGTTGTTGCTCCTCGGTTAATGTTTCAAATAGTACTTAGACGGGTCACCGATCCAACTGACAATATCGGTGAATTAATGAGTGGTTAGGAAGAGAGATCATGCAACTGCTTTTCTCGTGAATACATCCGTATCACAGTGGACGCAATACAACTTAGACAAGCAATCTAGGTCCTTTTCCGACATAACAGTCCGTGCTTTAATAAATTTAGCGGTCAGTCAAAGGATCTTCATTTTCACATTGATTAGATTTAGCATGATTTATCAAGTCGCCGACCACTGATTTTTAATATTGTGAAGACTTAAACGTTAAGGCTTGTAGCTCCTCACACATTTGCAAAACCAACTAGTACTTTGAAGAATGGCATTATGTCTTACATTCAAAATCCTATCTGTCTGCAAACAATATTATAGTTCAAGAAAGTTAAGTTTGGTAATTGTGAAAAATATATCCAAAACATTCGTTGATAAAAGTTAAAAACATAGATAGTAGAACTTTATTACTCAATCCCATTAAACAAAGGGAGAGCAGTAGAAATTAATGATCGCTTTCTAAGAGTTAGATATTAGCATAAAATATATAGATTAATGGAAATGGATGACACGTTCAGACCAACGCAAATTATTACCAATGAACAGGTAAAGATGTCCCAAGGAATACAAAGTTATTCATATCCTAGAAAGAGGTTTCCCATGATAAACTGAACATTTTACCGTGCATATGATCACTATTCCCTCTGTATTTCTTGCTGCTTCAAAATATATTGTGTGAAAAATTCAACTCATTTTGCATACATTTCAGAATGTGATAATTAGTTACCCAGACGTTAACCAAACCTAAATGTGATTTGAACTACCAAAGGTACTGACTAATAACGACAAGCAACTGGGCCAAAAGAAACCAAAATATCTGCCAAGTCAACAGAAACGGAACGAACTGAAGAGAAATTGGCGAAATATGGGACTGGAAAATGCACCAAAAAATAGGAAGTAAAAAGCGGCATAGTCTATGTATGAGATATAAATGTAAACATCTAATACCCCACGAATTGCTCACCTTATATATGGGAAGATAATAGACACATGCTGTTCTGATGTCGAAATTAGGTAGCTAGAAGAAAAAAGAAATTCGAATAAATAACAATATTCAACAAAACCGATGGAATTTACTGTGTTAATAGATTGTCATATCAGATAAGAGTTAAATGATTTTTAACACTAATATATATTATATAAGAGGTCTCATTTCAATTATTTCGATAACATATAGTATCAATAACGTCCACATGACATACGTAATTGATAGCCTATTATGTGAAATAATATACATCACCCGAGTCCATTTTAGCGAACAGAAAATTAAAACATTGGAAACTATGAGAAATGGAAATATTCTAAGTTACTGAATGGTTTCATAATCATACCGACTGGTTTGTTGGCACACCTTTGACTTTTAGATTGCTAATTAATGCCCTTAGTTAAGATTAAATTATATCCTCACTTTTCGACAAATTGTTGTTTTGTGGGAGAATGTGATGTTTTCATAAATTATTGACTCTATTGCAAAATTGGTGTTGTAACATTATCTGTACTTCACGGTGAAGTGTAAAAGAATGAATTCCGGTTATTAATAATGCTATTTAGTACACAGCCTCAAAATGCCCTGGTACGACCGAGAGTGGGAAGAGTCATCACACTCTATCAGTGATCTCACATGGCTACGTGCCACTACCAGGGAAGTCCTACTCACAGACTTTTCGAGGCGGTGTTTTTTGCGAAACTGAGAGGATAAAAAGCGAATGTCCGGCGCTTTAACTGAGTTGGCGGATACGGTGAATCCATCCAGGGGAGTTAGAAAACCCTGATTCCAAACCAGTGGTGCACATAAGCTCCAGGATCTTAAGGAAACAAATGGCGTATGGACCAATTGTCGGTCACCGGCTTCCATGGGACTGCATCTTCTTATGTTGATCCAGTGCACTGTGGATCAGTACTTTAGGTCGAAGGCTCCGGGTGTGGCCCCCTAGGAAAACCACCTGCTTCGGTTTGAGCACCCTGGCAGTATTCAAGCCCTCACACAAATCGAATGATCTATGTGGCGCATATTTATTTGCTGACTCCTTGTACCAATATTTGTGTTTAAATAAATAATAAATATTTAGTATACAACTACTTAGAGGAAACTAGTGTGTGAGACAGTTAGTTATTTTGGAGAATTAAAGAATTTCTTCCCTACATGTATTGTCACCGAAATCTGAGAAAAAATTAAAACCTAAATAATAAATTTAACACTAAAACGTGAAAATGCTATCTCGCGAATTACTTATTATTAAAAATCATACAAATGTAAACTAACCACGATTTAAAACAGAGCCAGAAATTTAATTACCTAGGCAGAAGCCCTCACCTTATAGAAAATGTGCCTACAATGGCTAAAATCAATCCAATGACGAAATAATGAACCGCAAATGAAGCCATGAATTAAAACAGCTAAACTAAACGAGATGGATCTTTGAAAATCAGTTGGCCTAAATTCAAAAACACATAAAGGAAGTAAAAGTGACTAAGAAAACTACTATAATAAAGCCATTGGTAGAGTGCATTCAATCAATTGACAAAGTTACATACACAATTAGTAGTGTGTGATCTTCACTTTCTTAAAAAATCCGACCACAATTGCTGCCCGACATGTTAAAACTGCTGCTCAAACACCTCAAGCAAAACACCATTTCAAAAATAAGATACCAATATGATTGGATTCACAACAATTACATTAAACTTCAATTTTAAATAGAGGACAGTCATAAATATCTATAATGCACGTTGAAAAAGCATTATAAACATTTTTTAACCTCGAAAAACACTTGGAACAGCAACAGGTTTGAAAAGGTAGTTCACTATAAGCTAGAGTTACCAAGTGCTTTAGTCTTCAAGACCTCTACTGTCTATAAAGGATATGGTAATCGTTCTTGATCACATGCGAGATAAAATGCGTGGGACGATGGGAAGAGTAGGATTAAGACAAAACCTAACGACCCACTGCTAAACACTACACCTTAGATTTTCTTGTCTACATATGATAATCGGTTGCATGAAATGTGACCTAAAAATTAAGGAGTCGTGCCCTATACTCGAACTGATTGTTTGGTAAATCAAACTTTTTTAACTCAACAATTATTTGAAGAAAAAAACATGTTCACAGGCCACACAACCTAATGGTTCAACTTTAAAAAGCGCTTTCAGGCTCTCGGTCCCTATAAAAGATGATTTGAACATTTCGGAACAGTAACATGAGACGCAAAGCAATGCGGTTCTAAAATCTCGAGGCTTACCACACACAACGCGGCTCGAATAGTTAAATCTATGTAAGTTAGCTTAACACGGACTACGGGGATTTAGTTATAATGAATACTATAAAATGGTTTTTGACATAAATGATACTCTCCTTTCCTACAAACTAGGTAAACGGATTTCCTTAACTTGTGATTAACCCTTGGAACATACTCCGTCAGCCAGTCAGCTACAACGTAGGACCAGGGACATATATGCATAGGTCCAAGTTGCCATAACTCATTAGCACAACAAGATGAACACCAAATTTATAGAAGTAGTTACTTCAATAATAGTAATATGTAAAAGGAAAATTGTGTATAATGATATAGTACAGGAAGAAAGAATTAGTCCGTAAAAAGAAAGGTATGAAGGAATTCTAATCTCACGGTTTAAGAGAAGATAAATAGTGTATACACCTACGCCATTGTAATCGATTCTGAGCCATGTTACACAGAGTCTCCAACCATTGGTTACGATAGTCACGCGGACCCCTACCAAGTAGTCTGCACACACCAACATGGTTCAGTCTAGAATTTAGTGACTTCAAGCACTGATGTCAAGATTTGGTTTAGCCGCCCCTAACCTAGTTGCAGCCGTCTCCAACACGCGTCAGAGTTGCGAGACGTGGTAACCAGTGTTCAGTCAACTCAACCAACCATCTCAGTTGATGAAGATTCACAACCTCATCAAGTGATTTACCATCATTCCGTAATACCCTGTGTCTAACCTCACTATTACTTACCCGGTGATCCCACAAGATTCGAGTAATATTTCTGAGACATCTATGATCAAATACCAGTAGCTGACGAGCATCTTCTGGGCGGCCAAACCAAAACATGGCACAAGTCCATGAAGTCACTGACAAGTGAACTGAGTCATGATGGTAGGTGTAGACTACCTGGTTGGGGACCACGAGATGATAGCAACCGATGGTGAGAGACCCTGAATGACATGGCTCAAAATCCTTTGCAATGGCGCAGTGGCATACACTCTTTCTGTTCTCCCAAATTCTAATCTTGTGAATTCTTCATGTCCCTTTTTTCCTCTTTCCAAATTTATTTCACTGGATTATACTCGTTAAATAACATCTCCAAACCCTAATCTTCCCGATTACTGCTTATACTCTTATTACCTCTACCACTATGGGATTTGAATCGACAACTGCATCTCTGTGCTAATGTGGTGTGGCAACTCGAACTGATGTATGTACGTACGAAGTTCTACGTTGTTACTGACTGACTGACTGACGAGTATCTTCTACTCATAATGACCACGTTTCACAGCCGTAAAGTAGGACAAAACGAACTACCGCCCAACGTACTCGTCCCTTAATTGATAAACGGATAACTCGTCTTCGCTACAAGTGATGTAAGTTGATAAAAGGCAAACAGGCTTTTTGAATCCGTGCTGAGATTTCGTCAGACACCAACCCATTAGGGCTGATCAGACTTCCAAGATAAATGAAGCTGTCCACGCGTTCGATTACTTCACTCGCTATCTGTAGTTCAAGGGTTGATGCAGACCAGGCCTGAAGCAACAACTTGCATTTAGAGGGGAGAGAAGTGCATTCCAAACATTCTGACATTGTTGCTTAGTGCTACCAAAACACTGTATTTTTTAGCGTCTTCAACAAAGAGGACAGTGTCATCTGCGTATTCTAAGTCAATAACTGTACCTCCTAGTAGGAGATCAATGCCCGAAAATCCAGTCGACGAGAAAGTTATTTCCATCAGTAGGTCTATGATGGAGTTAAAAAAAGGAGAAAGTGGACAGCCTTGATGGGGACACCACTTGAAATTGTAAAAGCAGATGACAGTTCGCCATAAGCTCTCACTCCACTAGTAGTGTTCGAGTAAAGAGTCTTCGCAATGTTTATGTACTTTTAAGGTACGCCTTTCAATGACAAACACTGCCACGGAATCTCGCGGTCTACAGAGCCAAATGCTGCTTCTAAGTCAAGAAAGACCACCATTGTCGGACGCCGATAAGTATGCCTGTGTTCTGGAACCTGACGAATGGTGAATATGTGATCGATGCAGCCACGACGAGGTCTGAAGCCAGCTCGATTCTCTCGTGTTTGCAGTTCACGAGTCTTAGTTAGGAGTCCGATAAATATCAAGGCTAGTATTTTAGATACTACATTAGTTAAACTAATCCCTTAATGGTTGTCACAGGATGATTTTAACCCTCTCTTATATATTGGGACGATAAGTGATTGTGACCAATTCTAATGAGTCTTTTCAGTGGGACATTTTTGCGTCCAAAGAGGCGCAAGTAGATGCGTGCCCGCATTAGAGCATGGTCGGAGTCGAAGCCGGTATTCCAGAATGAGCGACAATCCTCTATCGACCCTCTCCCACGATGACTGATGGCAATATGGTCTATTTGAGACCATCGTTGGTTTGGTGTAGGGGGTCGCCATGTTAGACGATGTCTCTCCTTATGCTCAGAATCAGTGTTTGTCAGAAATAAACGATCGTCCTAGCACAGTTGCAGCAGATGTTTACCACTGTCTGTTCACTAAGCCGGAATACTAAAATACTCACCTGAATGTCTTTCTGTTTGGTTTAAGCCACCCACTTGGGCATTAAAGTCATCTGCTACGAGTACTATATATGAGAGTTAAGCTTTTTGAAAAATTTCAGAAAGCTTTCTGTAAAAGCCATCTCTTACTTTATCTGGGCTGCATTCAGTTGGAGAGTAGGCAGAAGCAATGAAAAGGTAACGACGTGTGTCCCTATCCTTCCGAGTTCTTACGGAGCTGTTTAGCTGAACAGCGCATAGACGACTGTTAATGGGGATGCATTCTGATAATGCTTGTTCTGCCCTTGTACTCAGTGCCACGTCTACACCTGACAGTCTGAGAGAAAGTCACCAGGTCTTCAGATAAACGGGGGCCCTCCATTTCGGCGAGGTGAGGCTAAGTGACTGAGCACACTAGGATTCTGTATGTGTGTTTTGGAGACACAGCATACATTAATGTTACGAGATTCTAGGGTTTTAGTCAAGGAGGCCTGCTGGCCGATTCGACGTAGGGTGGGTACGTTGAAGGTTACAATGTGTAGTTTAGGGCACGGTGTCAGTAGACCTGGAACAGCGTTTTGTGCACTGGAATCGTTGGCTATGGTGACACTTGAGGAGGAAGTCAAAAGAAGAATTTTAGTGTTGAAAGTCGATGCAAAAAGAAAAATAGGAAGTGAAGACGGAGGTTGATTATGAATACAGTGGTCTTGAGTGCTGTTAGAGGTATGGGGGCGGTTATCACTTCCCGGTTGCCCACACCGTGAAAGGGTTGTTCTGGAGGTACCTGAAAAGGAAATTGGATTAAAGGTTGTCTTAGTGACCTGAGAGCGTGGCCGCAATGCCCAAGGGACAACTGCTTTAGATCGGTCACCCACGACCTTTTAAGGTAACTTTTATGTTAACTACGTAATTGTAGAGAACTTACAGCCGGACATGGATATCAGTTGGATAAGTAGAGGTGTGCATTTTTAGGGTCGACCTTTTCTAACCCCACCCTCCTTGTGGGAAGGCAGAATAGCCATTATGCTGGTTGTCTGAAGAAAACATCTTACTGCAGTCACACCTCTGTAGTCAGCAGTATGACTTTGCTTTCAAACGTCGGGTTTGCTGCTTTTAGTCTTACCGCTTTTCAACCGAACCGTCTGACATGGTTGGACCATGAGGAAAGATTGTTCCAGCCAGTATAGCTCGATTAATTCATCACGATAGGCGAGCCGGACTACCACATCAAGGTAACAACAACGATCGGGTTCGTTACATACTACGAGCAGTATTCTTCTCAAAGTGATACGTTAATCACATCACGCACTTACAGAAAATTATTTTAAGAGAATTCAAGAGTCATCATTTTGATTTGATTCTACCATTACTAACAGGGTCAATATGGATCACAGTAAGAACATAAATAGCTTTTAACTGATCATGAAAAATACATTTTCTTTGCCACTCGATTAACGAGGAAAAAGACGAGATACGTGAAATTAAAGCATTACAGTTTAGATTTAAGACTTGACTTATAATATTACGCTTAAATTCAGCCAGAATGATAAATACTACACAGTTTCCAAATTGTGTTTGAACAGTGACAAACGTTAGTAGTCAGCAAAATTCGCAGACACTGAGTTGCAACAGGTGGTAGGTTCATAGCGTCTGATTGCCACTAGATAAAACGGTGAGACTATTATTTATGGAGGACCTTTGAGCGACTCTAAAGTGAACTTGAGAATGAAAAACTACTATCTAGGACTAAATGGGGGTTAAAAAGCAGCTAGAATTCTCATTTACAGTTGATGGTTGGGGTTAAAAATTAGATATAGCGTTTTCATCACGAACTGACATCAGCTAAAATGCCAAAACTCTATTTAGCCGAATGTATGGATGAATTCCACATCCGAATTCGTGACTTGTTGTCCTATATCTGGTTGGTTTGTCCATAAATTGTGGTCTCGCCATTAAAACAACATACAATATTTTTTCTATGCAGATGTTACAATCGAGCGACTGAAAAGCGGGATAACGGCCACAGATCACAGGTACACAGTTTTAGTTCAAAAAAGGTAGTTTATTGACGCTTACTATATGTTTTTCAGCAGCGGGTTTAGAAAACAGTATTAAAACCAAATGAGATGAGCGACCTTCAGCGGACAAAATTACCGCTTTCTGATATACGGTTATTATTCCACGATTTTTTAAAGTCTATTTTTCACTTAAGATATATGTAGTTAGGTGTTTACCGTATCATTCGGCTAAATATGTTTACTCGAAATTCCATGTATTGTGAATCAGTCAACCAATTTATTCTCGTGACATGTTATAAATAACAATATGCGCGGCTCTGTCAGCCAAGTTGCTTTTATACAAACGATCGTATTCAAGCCATCCATAAATGGCCCTGGCAGAAAAAAAGGCTATATTATAAGCTCAATGGTACGTGTTAAATGGAAATTTCGCGAATAGAAACTGGAATAATTTAAATCTGTATAAAGAATATGATCAAAATATATTAATCAACTCTAGAATATAACAAGTAAGTATTTAAACTCGAGGAATGAAAAACGAGACATTTTCGAAACCGGTTTAGAGTGCTACATGCGAATGATCCGGAGTCGTAAGAAAGTTCCAAAACTATGTAGCTTCTCGAGATTTTGGTATTGATGCTGATGATAATAAGCTAAATGGTCACCCCTTAACAGAAGATACTTGGCCAAGCGATTGGTCTAGATCGTAGTAAGTCAGAACGTCCTAAATAACTTCGTCAATATCTGGCTAGCTTGTTTTATGCGCCACATTACAGCGATATTTATTCGAAATTGGCGTTCACAGACCATTATCCATGGCTTCATTTTTCATCAGCTTCAGTTTAAATGAGTTACAATATATTTCGCTCAATAACGTTGATGATACAAAATCTTAATAACGGAAAAACCGAGTTATTTGTGTCCTGACCCTCTGAAAGCCTAGAAGATTGTATGTAGACGAACCGGTTAAGGAGTATAGAATGTCTTACATGCTTACATCTGTGCAAAAACTAAAGGGAAAAGAAAAGAGGACTTCATTCCAGAATTATTGTGAGATGACTGTGTAGTGGCATTGGACAATAGCCACACAATCCACAAGGCTGTGAACACGAGACTACTCAGAAAATAGATATTCAATATTTAACGCGGAGAAATACCTAACAATGGAGAAGGCGCGAACAAGAAATTGAATGGACTGGAGTTGATCGAGTGGCATGGCTCGGCCATGCAGGCGTGGTCCCTGCTGGATATTATCCTATATCTCATTCATATTAAATATATTGTTCTTTCTCTATCCTAACCTTGTTCCTCATCAGGTATTGGTAATTGATACGATACAGTGAGTTGGTGTAGTCAATGGTGTGACTTCCACGTAAGATCTTATAGATTAGGCAGTTATATCATGACGAATCTACAATTTTGGGATTAGGTCTATTATTAGAGCAGTACTAATATCATAGTAGATCATAATCCTACATTGGTGAGCCCAACTAAAGAAACGCAACCTCTTATTATTAATCCTTATTTCCACTTCAACTTTCTCGATCGATTTTATATTTATGTTAACCCTGTATTCCAATAGTCCTCTGATTAATGCTCACATGCATTATCGTAATGTTATATTGATTAGTCCTCATGACAAACTAGCTCAATCGATAATAAAAACTGGTCGTCTATATTAACTAATTAGCTTTGATGATTTGTTAGCAAGCTGTAATAGCATTTACATGCTTCAGCGACATAGTCTTGTTTAAACATCAAGCTCTAGCAAATATGACCTGTAAATAGCGTAAATATACATTGACTAACAATGCGATCAAGGACTAAATAGTTATCTGGATCTAATTCTCAGTGTTCCTTCACTTAACACCTCATCCTGTTTTAAACGATGCACTATCCTGTAATATCTTTTCTTCCGACCACTGCCTGCCTAATTTCATATTCTCGAGTTCCATTGCCAAACAACGAGGATGACAACTCCAAAAACATACGGTGAGTTCCAGCTATAAGTTTTCTGCAATCATAAGTTCATTTTAGATGGCACACACAATTATCTGGATTCATTCAGTTGTTCTGATCAGAGCGAGTCCCAAAGACCTCAACAGCATCAAGCACCCTGGAAGTGATTGCCATACTGTATGTTTTATTCTGGATGCTTTTGGATCATTACTACTCCTCACGAATGGCGTTATATATGTCGTCCACTGAATAATCTAATTTTCAAAAATAATCCAGGCGAGTTCAACTATTTTACTGGATGATTTTTTTTGTACTTAACATGTATATGTTTTTCAGTTGCTTTTGCCACATATTTGTAAGTGTCCCTAGGCTAAATGTCGTAACTTCTCATGGAATGTTTATAACGCGTTACATTCCTGCCTCAAGTTTCATAAGCAGTCTTGACTTTAAAATGACTTTTCCTGGTCATGTTCATTATTTTTAAATTTTTATATACGTCAACAACCTGCATGTTAACATGGCCCGTACATACATTACACTATATCTTCATATCTTTTGAATTTAGAAATCATCTGAATCGCCTATAACATTTATCAATAAAACCATCATAGTCGTTGTTGCTAATCGTATTTGGTTTATGGATTGGTTTGTCATATTAGCAGCCTAAAATGCGAACATAGTTTAGATAATGAGATTAAAAATTTAGTTACTATCAACTGCACTAGTAAGATAACTAAATCCCTACGTAGCTGTTGGTTAAACAAACGTTTAAAATCAAAACTCTGTAGCCTATTAGAATTAACACTAAACGAATATTTCTGAATTGAAATTTATAATTAAATTAGGCGTCTCGGATTCTTTAACGTTATAAATTTCTGATGATTTTGAATCACCTAAAGCAACAATACCTATTTTTCCACTGACTAATCCTCAATCAACACTATAACTAGTTAAATTTAATAGTTTCAGGATATCGTCATAAAGCATTGTCATAACTTGACAATCACGTAATATGACTGATAAAATTAATGAAACTAGTAACGAAATCGGTCAGCAAATTGACTTATAATTACCATTAAATGGTGTTGTTTTCTTGGTATCTTCATCCATCACAGATGATTACAGTATGTTTCTCTATCAGTTGCTCATTCAGTAAATATCTCAAAACCTTGTCAGTCTAATTGATGGTTTAGCGACACAATCATGCATGCAAAAAAAAATCAGTATAAGCAGTCGAGCAAATCTCCTGTAAACTGAAAACATCAATGTCGAATTTACCCCAACACTGACTAAGGTTCAAGCCATTATCATAGACATGAGTTGGGAGTGTACTCCCCCTGGTTACAACTTATGTTCTCCCTGATAATCACAAGAGCATCACTCACTATTAATCATCTTGTAAAAACTTATTTAGCTAAATACATTTTGCAGCACCACATCACTTCGTAATATGACACAGGTCTAACTGATTTTAATAACTTGTAACCACTATATCTCAATTAAATCGTATTCCGCCTTATGATAAACTGCATACTTGCAACTAACTTGTATGCCCAATCAGCTGGCAAGTATAAATATAAAAATAGTCTGCCACAGATCAGAACATTGAGTCTAGAGCATGTCTCTTACGAATACGCTCATGTTTAACGATTTGTTCCTAGCTATCTGTCCAAAATTCATATAATTATCATTCACGTATTTAAATTTTGTTTTGATAACCATTCATGTATATTAGTAGTAATACTAAATTCTATCACGGTCAAGTAAAAATGAGGTTGAGAAAATCTCCCCGTAACTAAATAAACCGTATCAAACTAACAAGAACACTAGTTGGAATTCTTCTCCACGTTAGTACTTTTGTTCTTTCAGTTAGCCTACTAATACAGATGCAATTGGAAATCATATATGGACAGGTTACCGGCATAATTGTAAATTGATTTCATAATTTAAACCAAAACTAATACCAATATTAACATTTCTACAATATTCATTATTTTAATATTTCTAAACACAAAATAATTACTACCTATAAGTTAAGTTATTAACACGCATCGTTTTATTATTATTATTATTATTATCTCATTTTTTATAGTTCAAATAATCTTCACCCAAATTTTCATTTCAAGCGTTTTAAGCATGAAGGCAGATATTTTAAAATTATTACATGTATTTCCCGACCAGATGCTGCCGCTTTCTTTTTGATTTATCTTTCAGCTTACCAATACCCGGAGGATTCTTATTATCCTTGGTAACCTCCGGCGCGCGACGATCCCATCCAATTTGGTATCGAACCAACATCACGTTGATTCTGGTGGGAGAGTAGTGTAGTGGCATTGGACAATAGCCACACAATCCACAAGGCTGTGAACACGAGACTACTCAGAAAATAGATATTCAATATTTAACGCGGAGAAATACCTAACAATGGAGAAGGCGCGAACAAGAAATTGAATGGACTGGAGTTGATCGAGTGGCATGGCTCGGCCATGCAGGCGTGGTCCCTGCTGGATATTATCCTATATCTCATTCATATTAAATATATTGTTCTTTCTCTATCCTAACCTTGTTCCTCATCAGGTATTGGTAATTGATACGATACAGTGAGTTGGTGTAGTCAATGGTGTGACTTCCACGTAAGATCTTATAGATTAGGCAGTTATATCATGACTAATCTACAATTTTGGGATTAGGTCTATTATTAGAGCAGTACTAATATCATAGTAGATCATAATCCTACAACTGTACTAGATCATTAGTGGAAGATTATTGTGGTAACACTCAGGTAGTCCAAAATTATTTTAACAATGTACACGCCGAAGAGATGTCCTAAGCTTCGACTCGCCAGCTTTATCAAATAGGTTATAAATTTTTTTAAAAATATTTGGAAGGCGTGAGTTAAACATATGGACAAATATTGGATTAATTCTGCAAGCACCACGTGTTTCGGAAAGTTTATTCGCATATGATAAGTATTTTATGGACTGTAAAATGTGATTATCTCTTTAGATCAGAAGCTACCTGCATATGGAGCCTCCACTGAGTGCAGCAGAGCTTTTGATAAAGTTCTATGTGAGGCTTTTAGACAACCTTAAACATTCCTAATTTTTTTATAGCGTTCAACGTTACTTAGTTCGCGTATCGCATTAAGCTATCCACCGCCTAAATAATGATAATAGTCTATTAAAAATGTTAAAGGAACTACGAATAAGATGATATCTCGATTCGCATAGCTCTAACATCACAATAAACTGGCTAAACTAGTTCTATTTTGTTTCAGACTTCAATAATAAGGATAGTACCTCAATGAACCTGAATTCATCCTTGTGACTCGTATTCCAGTGGAGGTCAATATTCTCCTTGACAATGTCCTCTGATGAGATTGATACCACTTGTTCGGGTAAGGCGTTCCAGTCAATACTCACCTAATGAGAATGATGGAACTGTACATTG